AATTAATATAAGTTAAGCACTTAAAATTTTACATTCAGTATTAAAATCACGCCATCCAAAGATCGTGGTCCAAGGCCAATTTCATAATCATTGCATATAATCCAGTCTATATTGCACTACACTAATCTCTGAAAACCTGGTCCGAGCCAGGTTTTACTTTCCTTCTGAAGGTGAGAAGGGAGGAGGCTGATCTAATGTTGCTAGAGAGTGAATTCCAGTCGAGGGGCCACTGAGAAGGCCCTGTCTCCCATTCCCACCAATTGGACTTGCGAAGAAGGCGGGACTGAGAGAAGAGCTTTCCCAAATTATCTTAATCTCCAAAGTGGTTATAGGGGAGGATATGTTCGGATACATGAGTCTACACTGCCATACAATCCAGTTCAAAGCAGATAATCTGGATTGTATATGGCAGTGTAGAAGGGGCCTAAGAATGTCAAAACTAGCATATTTTTTAAAGTTTTATGGCCTTTATTTTTGCAGGCCTATGTTATGTCTATCTTACTAAAATACTCTTCCTTATTATAATTCTTTTCTAATTTCTCTGGCCAAAACAAGTAAGACAACTTTCTTCTTCCTTCACTTCTTGCACTCTCTTTAGGGCTCTTAGGATGACATTTGATCTTCTACAACTTTTAACATTTCAGGTCTTTTGACCTAATTACACCTGCTTTTCTTTTGCCTAAGCCACATGTGCCTGACTCAAGGTCCGTGGACCAAATCCAGCCCGCCATGTCATTTTGTGTTGCCCTCCAGATGCTGGACCGTAACTCATGTATTCCTCATTACACCTCATGGCTATAGCTGATGGGAGTTTTGACACAGTAACATCTGGAAGGCTGCAGTTTCTTCTGTTCAGACAGGATAGTGGGGTTTGCATTTAGATGCAAGGCTTGTGGATATGCCTGGCTTTAAAATGTCCTTAACCTGTCCCCACAATATAGTACCATCTGGAATACCTCATCTAGGTATTGCATTGAGCCATCATATATTGTGTAAATCTAAAAAAAAAAAGGTTTAAAAAGACAAACATTTCACATCGTTTAAAACAAATTATAGGAAAGTAGCTTTACCCAGGAGATTGTTTCCTCTTGCTAGGGAATTTGGCTTCCTTCTGTTTTGTCCACACATTGAAGAGTTCATAATAACAGCCAGAGCCCAAAGGCAAAGGACAGAGTGTTTTTCCCACATAGTGACAAATATGATAAATTAAATGCCTGGAGGTTGTTCCTGCTAATAATAGATATTAATCCCTCATGCATACTAATAAATCAATCCCTACATAACACAAATTTGCATAGGATTCCTTTGATAATCAGATAATACACTCTAACAGGGTTTTAGTATGCTTGAAACAGATTCTCGGTGCTTTATTTCAAAGATTGTTCTGTTTATTTTATTAGCTTTTATCTTTACTGTTGCTTTACAATGTTTTAAATTTTATCTTGTCTTAAGAACATATTTGAAAAAAATGAAGCAAACTAATATGAGTAAATACATAAATGTGACTTAGGCGATCCCTCGTTGTCCAAGTATAATGGCCTTCCAAGTGTAGTGTCTTGGCGTTGGATACGTAGGTGACTGTGGAGACCTATTCTTGACCTGCATATTCTTCCAGTGAGGACATTGGTTTCCAGGTGAAGGCTTGTTGCGCCTTCCTCTTGGCATGTTTCTCCTTTTTGCCCTCCATTCATGGCTCTTCAAATTCCACAGCACTGCTGGTCACAGCTGACCTCCAATTGGAGCACTCAAGAGCCAGGATTTCCCAGTTGTCAGTGTCTATGCCACAGTTTTTAAGGTTAGCTTTAAGCCCGTCTTTAAATCTCTTTTCCTGTTGATCTACATTCTGTTTTCCGTTCTTGAGTTGGGAGTATAGTAACAGCTTTGGGAGGCTATGATCAGGAATTCGGACAACGTGGCCACTCCAGCAGAGTTGATGGTGTAGGAGCATCACTTCAATGCTAATGGTCTTTGCTTCTTCCAGCACACTGACATTTGTCTGCCTATCTTCCCAAGAGAGTTGCAGGATTTTCAGAGGCAACATTGTAAGTCACCTTGAGTCCCTGAGTTATCTTATAGCCAATTTTAGAACTTGTGGGTTAGATGAACATGTTTATGATGCTATGAAAAGGTCTCAACAAATGAATTTCACTTTTTCTCAAAACTCATATAGCATTGCTGAACTTCACCTAATAGCACATTCATTTCTAAAGACACCAGTTTAATATAACACAGATTGTACAGTCTAACTGCCATTATAATAACTTTATTTCCAGTTTCTTTGCATTCATATTGCTGGTTGATATTACTACTTTAGTCAGGATATCTTACCTTGCAGAGCACTGGAGCAGCAAACTGGAGAATAAATAAACTGTAAACCAATTTGAGCTGAAAGGTCCAGTGGGGAAGTATATTATATAATGGTTCTGAAATAAATAACTCGTCTTGATGCAATTGAAGGTTCCTTGCATGCAGACCTCAAATGTATTTTATTTTAGTAGCCTAGCAAAGTAAGCAAATAAATAAATAAATAAATAAATAAATAAGTTGAATTCTGAGTGGTTAGGCATTCCGCCACATTTGGAAATCTGGATGGAAGCATTACACACAGCTTTTCTGGGAGGTTGTTTTACAAACAAGTTCATTGCCATTTACTTTTTGATAAATGAATAGTGTACTTTCAGCCAGCATCCTGTATTTGAGCCTATGTCCTTGTTTGCTATGCTTCTGTTCTAATCCACTCTATCTAGGGACACTGCTTGATGAAGAAAAACTAAGCAACAGCCATATTATCTATAATGTTTCAATGAATGCCTGAGAAGTAGTGAATATCAGCATTATAGGGCTGATGTTGTAGGACTGAAACTCCCAGTATTCCTGGTCATTGGCTATGTGTTAGGGCTAATGGGAACTGGGGTCCAACAAAATCAGAACTACAGTTCCATCCCTGCCCCCAAAATATACTCAGATTAAAAAAAAAACCTTATTAAAAATTCAGTCACTATAGGGAATATTGGTCATTTTCTGTTTTAGTCATTGCTGTATAAGTCTAACACTGGTCTTCAGATGGTCCAGGAAATGCTACCTTCATTTGCGTCTTTCCATGAATGGCTCTATGAAAATTGAGCAGCCACTGCATAAAGGGTTAATATAGAGATTGGCTTTGTGCGGCCTCTTAACTTCTAAATGTTTTATGTTCATATTTTATGTACCATTTGCCAGACAAAAAAAGAGAAGTTGCATTAATAAGATAGTAAATATCTAGAATCAATATTTGCAAATGTAAAAGTGGATCTGAACTCCACCTTGTGGCTTTCAGAAGCACTTCGTTTAATTCAAGGTTAATCCTTAAAGTCAAATGAATATCCTAATCTTGGTTGATTTTATTGAAATATTTATATCGCATCCTATATCATGATAACTTACGATGTCATTCCCATTTTTGTTTGTAACATTTTCAAAGTCACAATTATGGTTAAATCAATATTAACCAAGATAATCTGGTTTTTATCAGGCTACTCTTAGGTAACTGGCTAAAAAAAATCCTTATGTACAGAGCACTCCTATGGATGTGTATTTAGAAATAAACTATACAGGGTTCCATGAGGGTACTGTTACACAGGTATTAAATGGGACCATAGCTGTCAGACTAAACATTTTGTGACAATCCCGAGAAATTTGCCTGCTACTCTAGCATCTCTCAGATTGCACCTGAATATTAAGGGCTTAGATGGAATTAAGAATTGTAGCAACAACATCATTTTGGCTCATAATCTTAAATGTTCACACTTGTGCTGGAATTAAACTATTTTTTTAAAGAATGTTATTAGCGTTTTCAACAAAATGTAAAAAAGACCAGACAACAATGTAGAGAAAAGAAAGAAAATGGAATTGAACTATTAACCTGATGTAAGCACTTACAGCAAACGGCATAATGAAATTTAGGGTGGGGAGATCATGAGCCATTTTCTCATATGGAAGCCTCACTTAAATGGTGTGAAAACATTTTTTTTTTGTATTATGACAATAACTACTATTATATGACCAATCCAAATTATTGACCAGATACACATTTGGGTTATACAAATTAACGAAACCCCCAAATCTTCACCTACCAATGGCAATACAATAAATAACTTTTAGCCAAAATATTTTATCATCTTAAATGTTGATTTCTACACTTTTTTTTGCTTCCTAATTATTTAATATGAGACTTTTGTTTTTCCAGTCTTACTGTCTCTTTTAACTCAAACCACACTAATTTTTATTAGTGTGAAGGTAAATAACTGATATTTTGTTACACATAATCTGATACTGAACCACTTTTGTAAGAAAACAGCTCTCTTTTGCTCTAGAAACAAATAAAAAGTTTGATTTTATTTTTGCAGTTTTGCTTACTATTGTCATTTCACATCTCTCAAGCAACACAGAAGGGGGCTATATTGAATAATTCTTATTATCGGATAGCTAATGCTTTCAGTCATTGGAATCTTATGAGCTAAAAGCCAATGCAATGCTACCTCCACTTTGCCACTTATTATATTTCCAACCCAAACTGGTGCTTGCCATTTAAGGAGTTAAAACTGTCTTGGAAAGAGCAGCAGTAATAGGAATAAGTCATTTTCAGGGACCTAAAGTTTCCTTATCTTATGCACCTATCTCAATTTCTCTCAGATGTAAATTGATGCTCTCACTTCAAAAGAAATGACATTAGCTTAATTCAGTAGTAAGTTAACACCCATAGACCTTTCCCACTTTCAGTGGATATTTGTGACAAAACTTTAGACTGTTTCTTTAGCCAATGATGTACAGTATATTCTGGCGTATAAGACTACTTTTTAACCCAAGAAAATCTTCTCAAAAGTCAGGGGTCGTCTTATACGCGGGTGTAGTCTTATGCATGGGAGTAGTCTTAACTCTATATTTTAACTGGAAAAGTTGGGGGTCGTCTTATACGCCCAGTCGTCTTATATGCCGGAATATACGGTATTTATTTTTCAGTCAGTCATCTCATGCAAACATATATTTGCTATTGGTTTAGCTCTTGACAGTCCATTCTTCAAAACACATTGCTATAGCTGTCTATAAGGTAACAATTCAAGGTAGGACACAAATTTAGCATTTCAATTCTTTCGTAAAATAATAATGTAATTTTATTTGGAATGTGAGGGTTACTAAATTCCAGAGTCAAATTTTGCCTCATATCTAATCCTCTACATTCTCAGGGGTAAGTATAAACACCAGTGACGACACTTCCGAACTTTAAGTTAAACATTTCACCCATTCAGGTTCCTGTGCGACAGACCCCCCTTATCTGTTGCTTACATTGCATTTTTGTATCTCATGCTTCGATGTATACTCTACTACTTCACATTCCAATTTGACATCCTCTCAACATTAAGTCACTGAAGTCACCTGTCCATTATTTGGAATGTTGCAGCGATGTTTTTGAAGTGATGCCTCTTAGATTTTATTTCCCTATTCGGGGGCTGGACTATTCCCAGTTTCAAGCAGTAGTTCTTACTATGTATTCTCAAATATTTAACAATGTTAACAATTTTTTGTTTAGAATATTGTTTTTAATATGCTTATGAAATGCCCAATACCATGTTCTGGACAATCAACAAGTGTAAAAATAATTTAATAACTTTGATAATAAATCTTCATTAAAGATGTGATAAATACTCAACATCCTAGTCAACTTCTTTCTACTCCACAGGGAACTTTTTAAAAAAAAATTCAAATGAAGGCTAAATTATACAAGCAGTAAATTCCATCCTGTTTCCTTTCCAAAAACAGGAATACCTTTGGAAAACTTAATATTTTGAATTGTTTGTATTATGCTTTTACTTCACTTCCCAGACATTAATACTGATTTCAAAACTTTGGTATCTACTATTTAAATTGTCTATTCGTCTTAATCTAACATGATAGCCAGGTTTCTACAGGAGTACTGCCTATTAAATAAAACTGTTCTTCATAATTTCTTGATACTTTCCATGTATTATTTCAAAATGAAAACAAAGCAAACAGAATAGGAGCTTTGTATCTTGTCCTGTATTTACAGAGACATCTTGCAGAGTTGTAATCTGACATTAAATGCTCATCCACTGAGAAGTTTCTGCCCTTATTCTTCTACATCACCACTGCACCATAATTTAAGTCCACAAAATCCAACAATATCATAGGCACTCAGGTTGTCCCAAATGAATTTTAAGGATAGGTTTTTCATTCTTGGGAAGTTCTTCATTAAATATATAATTGTTCACTTTGTTATTATGAAAGGCATCAGTCAGTACCGTAAGGATAGTATTCCGGAAAGTCATGAATAATTTTCAGAGCTTCGCTATATAATGCAAGATCTGAAACAAGAAACAGAAAAATAAGTTCACTAGTGACCCGATACTAACTACATTCCTCCTTTCACTTTTTTAAAAGAGTCAAAGTAAGTCTATGAATTACTAACTCTAAATAATGTGCATGGATGGATCACTCTTTACAGCAAAGTCAAAACATTTCTGTAAGAAGAAATATCTTTTGGACTGTTTATTTTGTGAGGCCTAGTGGTTTGTTAAAAATGAATTACTGGTTAGCCTAAACACCTTAGAGCAGGGGTCCTCAATCTTTTTAAGCAGAGTGCAACAGTCCCTCAGACTGTTTGGGAGCTGGAGTACAGTTTGCAAAAATTAACTAATTCCTATGCACATTGTACATATCTTATTTGTAGTGCAAAAAAGTAATGAAAAAACAATACAATATTTCAAATGAAAAACAATTTAAACTAATACCCATTTACCAGTATTTCAATGTGAAGCATGGGCCTGCTTTTGGCTGATGAGATGGTCAAGTTAATTAAGACTGTGGTTGTGTGCCTTCAAGTCATTTCACACTTAGGGCAACCCTAAATTTAAAGTTTAGGGTGGGGGCTGGGTAAATGTCCTTGGAGGGCATGAACACACACACAGGCAACCCTAAAAAGATATATTTTGCAAAACAAAAACAAAGTAATTCACTTACCAAATGCACTTTTATCTTCTTTGAATTGAGTGTATGTAGCACACAGAACATTTACTTGTTTTGTAACTCTTCCAACTACTTCAATGACTCCAGAAATCTCTTCTTCTAGCTGCCAATGCAAATCAAGCAGTTATTATTTGGAACTTCAGAAGCACCTTAAACATCCACACCTTATCTACTTTCTCTGTTTACCAGCTGTTAGGAATTGTGGGAGTCGAAGTCCAAAACATATGGAGGGCCCAAGTTTGCCCATGTCTGGTCCAAAGTTTAGCTGTTGGTGTATTTCCCAATGCTAGAAAGCAGACCAATGTATCCATATAGTACAACTGATAGTTCTGCAATACTTTGAGGAAATTACACATTTGGCATCCTCTCTGTGGCTATTTTGCATGGGAACGATAAAAGGTTCGGAATGATCTTGTTCGGTCTTTTTGTACTGCCTCTAATAAAGCAAGGATTGTGTTGTCGAAGGGTAACATGACCAGAATCACTAGGTTGCTGTAAGTTTTTTTGGCTGTATGGCCATGTTCTAGAATCATTCTCTCCTGACGTCCAACCCTCTTCAGCCAGGAAGGCGCAGTCAATTCCCTCTCAACAGATGGCCATCCAGCCTCAGTTCATAAACCTCCAGAAAAGGAGACTCCACTGGAAGAGACTGTCAGGGGGCATCCAGTCCAAGCCCCTTCGCCAGGCAAAAAGGCACAGTCAAAACACCTCTGTGTGGTCATCCAGCCTCTGTTTAACAAAGCTCCAGAGAGAAGGCTTTCATGGCTGGAATCACTGGGTTGCTGTGAGTTTTCCGGGCTGTAAGGCCATGTTCCTGAGTCATTCTCTCCTGATGTTTCAACCACATCTATGGCAGGCATCATCCGAAATTGTGAGGTCTGTTGTAAACTAGGCAAGTGAGGTTTATATATCTGTGGGATGCCCAGGGTGGGAGAAAGAACTCTTGTCTGCTTGTGGCAAGTGTGAATGTTGCAATTGGCCACCTTGATTAGCACTGAATAGCCTTGCAGCTTCAAAGCCCTGACTGCTTCCTGTCTGGGGGAATCCTTTGTTGGGAAGGGTTAGCTGGTCCTGTCTAGATTTTCTCCTGTCTACTTGTCCCCGTAGCTGGGCCTGGAATGCGTACATAGGCATAACAGTAGACTCTCAGTTACACAGAACTCAAGCAGCAAGAACGCTCAAGTCCAAAACACCCAGAGAGCCGAAGTTTGCCTATGTCTGGTCTACACCAGACATAGGTAAACTTCAGCCCTCTGGGTGTTTTGGACTTGAGCGTTCTTGCTGCTTGAGTTGTTTAATACACCCTTTGTCTCATGAACGAATCCAACCAGACCAGCATCAATATATTTCACTTTTAAAATTAATATCTAGATACTTAACACCCCTTAAAAAAGTTCTTAACAGAAAGACCTCCCAAAGGAAGCTCAGACTTACAGGTGTGCTCATCTCAATGGTTGCTGTTTTCCCTTCTCCATCAGCCAGAAAGAAGTATTTCCCAGATGGATGGATCTGCGAAGATTTTAAGACATTTCACTTTCAGAATAATTTTACTTACATATAGATTTTTTAAAACTTTACTCTGGACATAACACATAAATAACATAAATCTATATAAATAAAACTCAAAATCTACTGGACAAATTGACACCAAATTTGGACACAATACACCTATCAGGCCTACGAGCGATCATCACTCATAAAACCCTGAAAAAAATGGCAAAAGAGACTGAAAAGGCAGATAAACAAAAAAAAATACATCACAATGAATGTGCAAAACCACATATATATAGGCAAGCACACACACATATATATATATATACACATATATGCATATAAACACACACAAAACACATGTACACAGAAAGGAGGAGGGAAGGAAGGAAGGAAGGAAGGAAAGAGAAGGAAGGAGAGAAGGAAATAAAAAAGTGAAAGAAGGAAGGAAAGAGGGAAGGAAGGGAGGAACGAAAGAGAGAAAGAGGAAGGAAGGGAAGGAAGGAGAGAAGGAACGATGAAGCCAAAGAGCAAAGGAAGGGAGGAAAGAAACAGGTAGAAAAGGAAGAAAAAAGGGAAAGTAGAAGGAAAAGGAAAAGAGGGAGGGAAGGGAAGAGGGAAGGAAGGGAAGAGGGAGGGAAGGACGGAGAGAAAGAAAAGAGGAGAGAAAGAGGGAAGGTTTGCACATTTATACACATATACACAAATATATACACATACATATACAAAACACATATACACAGACTGGGCCACAGCATAGTACAGAACTATTTTTTCATCTAATCTAGAAAAAATTAGGTGTTCCTCATCATGCACTTGAGCTCAGTAACAGGAGCCAAGTATCCCTTATGTGAATGATTGGGAGCCACAAGTATTTGAGGTTTCTCTTCTTTACCTTCTCCAGCCGCCCCACGAAACAAACGGGCTTCCCGATGGACTGCGCCAGTTGACTGGTGACCACGCGAACGCGGGGCCCTTCCAGCACGTCCGCCATTACCAGAACTTTATCAAACAGCCCAATTGGCGGGAAACCTGTCCTTCCTTCCTTCCGATTCTCTCGAGCCGCGCAGGTCAGTTGCCACGGCAACCACGGAAGTCCGAGTCAAGTTGATGGAATCCGCGCGCGCCGGAGGCTGAGGTGCGCAGGCGCGGAAACAGAGCGGCGTTCAAGTTCCTCGCGTTCTGTCTCCTAACTGTCTCGCTAGCAAACCGGAAGAGAGGCTGCTCCGACACTGTAAGTTTAGCGGCTGCCGAAAGTCAGTGCCTGGTGGGCGGGGTTATCTGTGAGCAGACAGATAACCCCGCCCACTCAACTGAGCCGCTTCAGACGCCTCGGTGCGCATGCGCACACATTACTGGTATGAACACTTCTCAAGCTAAGCGAGCAAGCAAGTTCAACAAGCCTCGTTCTCCGTTTCCCCTTCTTGCTTGATGTGTTTTATATAATAATAATGATAATAATAATAATAATAACTTGGTTTTTAACCAGGCCTGGGCAAACTTAGGCCCTCCAGGTGTTTTGGACTTCAACTCCCACAATTCCTAGCAGTCTCAGGCCCTTTCCTTTTCCCCCTCAGCCGCTTAAGGAATTGTGGGAGTTGAAGTCCAAAACAACTGAAGGGCCCAAGCTTTCCCAGGCCTGGTCCAAAGTGTAGCTGTTGATGTATTTCCCAATATTAGAAAGCAGCCCAATTTTGTAATGTGTCTATATAGTACAGCTAATTTTGTAATGTGTCTATATAGTACAGCTAATCTGCATTACTTTGAGGTAACTACACATTTGCCATCCTCTCTCTGGTTATTTTGCATGAAAAGGTAAAAGTTTCAGAATGATCTTGTTTAGCCTTTTTGCACCATCTCTAATACAGGCCTGGGCAAACTCTCATAATGCCTAACCGCTGGTAGCTGTATTGTCGAAGGCTTTCATGACTGAAATCACTGGGTTGCTGTAAGTTTTTCGGGCTGAATTGTCATATTCCAGAAGCATTCTCTCCTGACGTTTCGCCTGTATCTACAGCAGGCATCCTCAGAGGTTGTGAGGTCTGTTGGAAACTAGGAAAATTGGGTTTATATATCTGTGGAATGTCCAGGGTGGGAGAAAGAACTCTTTTCTGTTGGAGGCAAGTGTGAATGTTGATAGGCAGTTATGAATTGTGGGAGTTGAAATGCAAAACACCTGGAGTTTGCCCAGGCCTGCTCTAATAAAGCAGGGACTCTCTCTTGTCTCCTACTTGTCCCCGTAGCTGGGTCTGGAATGTTAACATAATAGGCATAATAGTAGACTGTCTGTTAAATGGAACTTAAGTAACAAGAACTCTCAAGCAACTGCCAAAAAAATCACATAATGCTTTCAATAATATTTGAAATACATGCATAACTCTCAAGCTACCAGGAACTACATTTGTCTGACATCTAGCAATCCCTATGGGTGCTGATAATTGAGGGCACTTCCGGACTAGACTTAAACCCGCTTCCGAGCGGGTTTAAGGACCCTTTCACACAGCTGAATAAAATTCCACATTTTCTGCTTTAAACTGAAATATATGGCAGTGTGATCTCAGTGTCCTTCCACACAACCATATAACCCAAAATATCAAGTCAGAAAATCCCACCATATCTGTTTTGTACTGGATAATATGACAGTGTAGACTCAGATAACCCAGTTCAAAACAGATATTGTGAGATTTCCTGCCTTGATGTTCTAGGTTATATGGCTGTGTGGAAGGGCCCTCAGATAACCCAGTTCAAAGCAGATATTGTGGGATTTCCTGCCTTGGTATTCTGGGTTATAGGGTGTGTGGAAGGGCCCTAAGTCCCAACACCTCCACCCAAAACATGGGCTTTCCTGGGTGAGTGTCCCCATGCCATCCCAAAAACTTTTGGGATGGCGTCAGGACATCCTCCCTCCCCCCACCCCACCTAGCCTTAAAACAAAATAAAAACTTACTGGGTCACTGTGAGGCAGCCCCCCTGGTATGTAAAAATGATGCCCCAGGAGGTGGGGAAGGGAAGCAGTTTGCCCTCCCCCCCCCCAACACACCGCCACCTCTTGGTGCGTCATTTTTACATGCCAGGAGGGCTGCTAGAGTAGCCTCATGGCAACCCAGTAAGTTTTTATTTTCTTTTAAGGCTTTGGGGAGGGGGTTGGGAAGGGAGGTGCCCTCTTTGCTTCTCCTGGTTCATGAGGCGCAAATAAACAAATTGGACTGTGAGGACAGACTACTGGGACTGTGGAAACTGTCCCAGTAATCTGTCCCCACAGGGCCCACACCCACATTAGACCTGGATCTTTCAGGAAGGCCCGGGTCTAATGGGCTATCTAAATAATTCCATACAAAGCAGGGTTTACCTACTTTGTCTCAAATTATTCCTCTTTTACCTAAGGAGTCGTTTGGACTCCTCAGGTACAAGTCCGGCAGGGCCCGCATTTTTGTTCCTGTCTGGAAGAGCCCTGAGAGTCTACTGTATTTTAGTATAGGGAGTACAAGATTAAAATGTTTCTTTGAAGGCCAGCAGTTACCATGAGATAAATGTTGGGTCACATAGAAGAGATTTTGTTATCTTGAGGTACTGTGGCTTTAGTTTAATGCTGTTGAAATCAAACAGTCCTGAAGTGCGCTATGTAGATCCAGTTGTGGATTGTTCAGAAGTTCTGTTTAATCCATTAGGTATCATAATGCCTCTGGAAAAGAATGGAACAATGACTGTGCTACTTATGAGCTTATGAACCCAAGCTGAATTATGGAAGTTAAGGAAAATATGAGAAGGATCGTGTATACATTTTATGAGATTGTGCACATTTTTAAAACTGCAAAATAATGGCAGGCACACACATTCATCCTTAATGAAGTTCTATGTGCATAAGCATCGTTCCATTTATATTACTTGCTCAAACAGAAATAATGTGAACAGGAAGAACATTAACCAAACACTGAATTGAATTTTGGCCCAAGCAAGCATGCAAACATAGGTTTGCAACTTGACCATATTGGCTAATAGTGCCACTCCATACCACATGTAAATTCAATGGGACTTAAATCTGGAAAAGCATAGGTTGTGTTGTAAGCAACTGCATTATAAACGGCAAAACTTTACATGTTTCAGTGGTCATGAAACTAGTCAAAGCTACTGCATATTTTCGTCCACTTTACAATAGAGGGGTTACAATACTGCTATGAGTATTTCTGATATCATGTACAAGATAAGCTGGTGCTCTCTAAATCTTTTAGATGTTTGAACAATGGAGTCCGCATTTGTCCATATTTGATCTGATGTTCATTATGTGTAACATTTCCAAATAAGACCAATAAAATAACACATTTTTAGAAGATCAATTTAATGGCTGCTGATCAATTTTCCCATGTACAGTACTTTTTGTATAGGGGCAGGGTTTCAAAGGAAAACGTAGTATGAAAAAATATACTTATGTACATCTTTCAGTGCTTGTTCTTATTGAATTCCCCTATAATTCACTGTGACACTTTGCTAGCTACTCTTTTCTAAAAGAGCCCTGAGATACAAGAACTTGTGGAGTAAGCTTTAACGTATTCCCCCAAATACTGGTCCTTATTCACCAGGAGAGTCCTGTTGACAAGCAGATATTCTTGACTCTTGATGTGCCGAATGCAAATGCAGGGTCATCAGCATTTCTGTGCCTTTCTTTAATTGCAGCTCCTATACATGCATTAAAGAAAGGCCAGAAAGCAGCAATTAATGCAGAATATTTTGAACTGTAAGTCTCATAATTCCTTCCCTTTGGAGCTGCTACCTCGGGCTATTGAGAGTTGCACTCCAAGATCTGGTGAAGCAAAAGTTGCTCACTTTGTCTTAGACCATCCTTAGCTACTAAAATGTAGACATACCGATAAAATTCCATCTATGCACCTGCATATATATATATATATATATATATATATATAGCATTAAGAGCTTCAATTACTGTTCCTCTTGGCAGTGTATGGCCCAATTGGAGAGCCTGCTTCATCTTTCAGTGAAGGAATAAACACCCCTTTTTAAGACCCCTGGCCACTGGTCAGTATTCTGATGCATCTTTCCATTTGCTGGTTTTACAGTGCTTACCAGTTTTGAGTATTGCTTGTGGAGAATGGAGGCACCTGGAGAATATTTTCATTTCCAAATAATAATAATGCCATATTCTAACTTGCTTATATTTCTTAAAGACTGACATAGGCAGTACTAAAATTTAACAATAAGCATGGAATTATCACCTGCAGTGAAGCTATTAGCTATGAAGATAAACATGCTCTACAAAATCTATGGAATGCATTGTAAAAATCAGTAGGTGTGGTACAGATGTAGCACTTGTAACAACACAACATTTGGAATTATTCTAGTATTCTTGATCAAACTCTAGAAATTACTTCACTTTCTTCTGGAAGCTTGAATTCTCTGTAAGTGGAGAACAGAAAATTATATGTTACCTAAGAAAAATACATCTACTAAATTTGCAGAATTTCATAATAACAGACTGTACTACTCCATATTATGTTGTTGTAAATATTAATACCTTCCTGGCAGAGCTTTATGTAAACAATCTTAAACTTTTTATGGAAAAGAGAGATAAAATTATTTTAAATTAATAACATCCAGAAATACACAACTTTCTAAATATACCACAGTTGTAGTCATGTTACAGGTAGTATAAATCTTTATATAAAAACTCTGCTACTTTTACTAGCAAATGATTCCTTATTGGAGAGCTTATTATTACCATGACCTACTTGGGTTACCCTTGTGCACAGGCTGCCCGGCACTCCCATTCTGTCTCAAACCTATTTTGGTTGCCACCACAGCCTCCATACCAAAACCGGGCACATGAATTTGAATCTTTGGAATAATACCACTTCACTTCATAATTTTGACAATCTCCGATTTTCAGTGGTTCATGGCACTTGGAATCTGAAAAGGAAATAGCAAAACCTTTTTTCAGATGAGATATGGTTCATTTTTTTTTAAAGCACTCTGTTTTTGGCCTTATCTGCAACAGCAAATTAGGTTGATTTCAGCATACATGCAACAAGACCTTCAAAAAGTGTCACTGAGCTTTTGGGAAAAGACTACAAAATTATTGTTGAAGTTGACCTCATGGGGAGGTTGAGGGACAAAATTACGGATTTTTATACGACTCATGGATAAGTCAAGTGTTATGCGCCAGCATTGCCATTAGTCTCCACTGTTGCCATTTTTCTGTCTAGGCATTCAAAAAAGCCTTTAGCCACTCGACTCAGAAAATGAGAGAATTCCTTTATCAAAATGGAACAATTCCCTTCTCTGCATAAATTAGCAAAAGATGAGAGCATAGTCCAACCCAAGAGTACCTAAAAGAAGCACAAATAATTTCCACTCTCTTGGTGCTCTTTTGAGGGGAAGCACCAAAAAACTATCCTTGCCATTTTCCTATCCTAGCATTCAAAAAGGCTACAAGTGGCACCATAGAGGAGACAGGAGAGGGAATTGGTGCTTATTTTATGTTCTCCCAGGAGAGACTACACTACGCGCTGACCGTTCACCATTCTACTCAGAGCAGCGGCTTCTTAGACTTTTCCACTCGCAAACCCATTCTGCCTGACAAGTTATTATGTGAGCCTGGTTATATATGTATATAAAATAAGTAGAAAAACCAAACATTTACTGATAGCAAATTAATATTTGTAAGGGTTGCTAAACAGGCTGATTTTATTTATTTATTTATTTATATATTTATTTATATATTTATTTTTGACGTACAGCTGAAGCATCTTCTGCAGAGTCCACTGTAAACACTGCTCAACAGATTCATGTACATGTCTAGAACAGCCTCTATGTAAGCCACCTTGAGTCCCGTTCGGGGTAGAGAAAGGCGGAGTATAAATAAATGCAGCAACATTCAACAAAATGCAGCAAAAAAAAACCCACAAGAAAATCCACACAACTGCCCACACTAAGATCCCTACAGGCCATGTTAACTGGCAACTGAAGTAAAATATGAGTCAAAATATATACCTGTGACTGTAACATTCTCACTTTTCTTCTCCAGTATGATTTTTATCAACTTTGCCTGAAGAAGACAGTGAAACTTTGAAAACTGTCATGATATATTTTAGTGCATTTTGGTTGGCAAAATTTTCCAATTTTTCAAATATAACAAAAATGTCCTTAATTATGTTTAAAACAACCCATGAATGCTATGCTCCATTAACCTTACCCGTTTTAAAACACTTATCAGAAAGTATACACCAGAACTTGAACCGTTCGAAAGTCTTTCTGCTCTTTAGTGAGGCCATAACTCACAACTACCACATTAACTGGAAGTTACTGTTTTGGTCCATTCTATGCCTTTCCCCTTCCAGTATTAGATCTCTTGCAATACCTATTACTCTGTGAAGCTGTGCACTGGCTGTGTCCGGTTGCAGACCTCTAGTTAAATCAGAGGAGACAGAAGTCTCTGGACTCAGTGTACTGAATTCCCAATATCCTTTTTGGTCATAAAGAGAAGGGATGGCAGGTTTCCTGTAACTGTCAGGATCATATTTAGGAGCAGCTGTGGTACCATACTGATCCCAGTCAATACGTGATGCTACTCTCTCACCAGGTATTCTTGAACGATGTACCTACCAAAAGAAAGATAAATATATATTCAAATGCCAGTGGTAAAACAAACAACGGGATCAAAACTGAGGATTTCTCCCTGGAAGACATAGGGCGTGGCAGTGATCTGTGGGTCCCTATCTCTATATAAATGATATTCTAACAAAATACTTACAGGCTCCGTTACTTCTGGTTTGTGTGGAAGGATGCCTGTCTCTGGAGTACCAGCTATGGCAAACTGACCAGTGTTTTCACGTCTTGTTTCAGATCCAGGAGAAAGTGCTGAACTGAGCACTTCGGTGATATAGACACTGAAATCACTCTCACAAATTTGTTTGAATACTTTATTCTCAAGAGCTGGAAGATGTGCAGAAGGACAAATCAATTAGATGGAAATGGATACAAAACAGAGATTGGGCTTAGATGCAAAAGTGGCAGATCTTTTGGTTTAAACACAGATCAAATAGGTTGGAAATGTTTCTTCTTTTTTTAAAGGGCAACTCGCAGAACATTCTAGCAGCATTGTAATTACTATCTAAAACAGAGTTTCTCAACCTGGGGGTCGGAACCCCGGGGGGGGGGTCACAAGGGGGATGTCAGTGGGGTTGCCAAAGACCATCACAAAACACAGTATTTTCTATTGGTCATGGGAAGTTTGGCCCAGTTCTATCGTTGGTGGGGTTCAGAATGCTACAACTTCAAAATGTCCTGGTCTATTTTCCCCAAACTCCACCAGTGTCCACATTTGGGCATATTGAGTATTCGTGCCAAGTTTGGTCCAGATCCATCATTGTTTGAGTCCACAGTGTAGGTGAACTACAACTCCAAAACTCAAGATTAATGCCCACCAAACCCTTCCTGTATTTTTGTTGGTCACCGGAGTGCCAAGTTTGGTTCAATTCTATCATTGGTGGAATTCAGAATGCTCTTTGATTGTAGGTTAACTATACATCCAAAATCAATCCCCCCTCCCCAACCCCACCAGTATTCAAATTTGGGCGTATCAGATATTTGTGCCGAATTTGATCCAGTGAATGAAAATGCATCCTGCATATCAGATATTTTCATGATGATTCATAACAGGAGCTAAATTACAGTTATGAAGTAGCAACGGAAATAATTTTATGCTTTGGGGGTTGCCACAACATGAGGAACTGTATTAAGGGGTCACAGCATTAGGAAGATTGACAAACACTGATTTAAAATATTTCAGAAAATCTTACCTTGCAGTGTTATGAAATCATCTATCTGGTAAACATGCTCAATGTCAGGATCCGAAGCAATGAGATCCATTTCTTTCCGAAAACTGTCAAAATTGGGATCACTTTTTTGAACCACCCCAATTACGAATATTTCTATGTTGTTTGCATGGGCATCCTTCACCACCGCCTCCAAAGTGTTGGGATCACGCCGATCTGCTTGCCCATCTGTTATCACGATAGCCACTTTTCTCACCCCTGGTCGGGCCGACTTGAATATATTGGTGGCATTCTTGATTGCAGTAGCAGTGTATGTACCTTCTCCTAAGTACTGCATCACATCTATGGCACCTTTCAGGCTTTCCTTGTTAGGATACTGCTGCAGGGTGGACACCACATCAACTTTGTGGCTGAAATTGATGATGCCAACACGGGCTGTTGCTTGGTTAACTGTGACAGCATCGATCACCGTTTTCACAAACCTTTTGATCCTGTCAAAGTTCTCAGGCCCAACACTTTCAGAGCTGTCAATCACAAATACTAACTCTAAAGGATTTTCCTTGCATTTAACACCACAACCTGAAAGTAAATTGTAGATAGTTTTACAACACATTAAGATATAACTTTTTCGTATTTTGTTCTATTGGTTAATTCACAGTTGTACTGACTCACTGATTCAATTGCTGAATTGTGAATATTGGTCTTAAAGGAGCTGCACTTGCTCACTGCCACTTTCTTTCTGGACTAAATTCAAGACACTGGAAATGACATCTAAAGCCTCTCAATTGGTGAACTCCTTGGAGGTCCAATTGGTCCCTACATTGGTTTCTCCTTCATAATCTTTGTGACTCACACAAATGCGCCATCTGCATCTGCCCAATACATCATTCAGAACCTTCTAGAGCTATCATGCAAGGTCACTCTGTGGTCTCCCTTGGATGAGTGGGCAATTGAAACCTAGTCGTAGACAAACATTCAAACCACAGCACCACGCAGAGTACATCATGTACTAAGATGTATAAAATTGAGAAGTTTCTTTTGTTCTTTTTTGTTGTTCCATATGTATATTTCTTTCTTTTTTCAATTTTGTGTTTTAGATGTTTTTAAATTGTTCTAAATTGATTATTATTTGTGTACTCTGGCCTGAGATCACATCAAGGTAAAAAGAGTATGTAAGATATGTTTTCTGCTAAGATTGCATTCATGTAGTTTTAGACTACAGTAGAGTCTTGCTTATCCAACATAAACTGGCCGGCAGAACGTTGGATAAGCAAAAATTTTGGGTAATAAGGAGGGATTAAGGAAAAGCCTATTAAACATCAAATTACGTTATGATTTTACAAATTAAGTACCAATACATCATGTTTTTCAACAAATCGACAGAAAAAGCACTTCAATACATGGTAACGTTATGAAGTAATTATGGTATTTATGAATTCGCACCAAAACATCGCAATGTATTGAAACAGCTGTGGATCCAGGCAGGAGGCACACTGCGTTGGATAATACAGAAAGTTGGATGAGCAAAGGTTAGATAAGTGAGACTCTTTGTTCCATACAGGATTCTCAGCCATGCAAGACAGTATAAACACATCATTATGGAAGGTTTTATAGGGAAATAATAGTGTCCCTTCAGATAATTGCTTATATTCCCTGCCAACATTCTTCAGTGAAAGCAATGTATATAATTGTTTTTTCCCTCTTACGTAGCTCTTACCACATATCTCCATGATGAGTTTGATTACCTCTTCTTTCTGAAAGAGACCATGCACTTGAATTGAGTTTTAAGATTTGGAAATAAATAATTTTAAAAAGAAATAACAGTTTTCATGATATCGATACTGAAACAGTGTATACTTAAATATGTCTCTGATTGCATGAATAATTTGTACACACACACCAAAGGATTTTTCAGAAATTATGCCAAATTAATGTAAAATGATGTGCAGATCCAGCAAGCAGAACCCCACTTTCCTCAAGTAATGCCTGAAGTGGTGGTTCCTGCACATAGGTCTCCACAAAAGCGGACCTGCAACTCCCATCACTTCCAATTTGTGAGGATACTGGTTGGGAATTATGAGACTTATATTATGGCCACAAGGCTGGGTAGTATGGATTGAAAGAACACTACAGGCTGTTTGACACATTTTTGATGATTCACCACACAGAGGAGCACTTACAGTGAGACCTGCTTCACCTTTGACTCCTGAAAATCCCTGAAAGTTAAAAAACAAGGGCATAAATTAATAAGTATGATTAATAAGTACAATATCTTCTGCAACGCAAAACAAATAAAGGAATATGTTAAGACTTACCCTTGGTCCTGCAGGTCCTGGTTCTCCAATCTCTCCTTTGTTACCTCTCTTTCCTTGATCACCTTTCTCTCCATAATCCCCCTATTTTTAAGCATGTTAAAACACCATGGTTATTGTTTTGCACAATATAATTATGAAAAGATTTATCTTGTTATTGTTCCTGCATAATCAGTTTGAGGTAATTATATGTGCAACTCTTGGTCAGTTATGCCTCTTGGGAACCCATTTCAGTTTCATGCCTTGTTCTTTCAGGGGACTAGTGCTAAAAGCTTAAAAGATACTCGTCATAAAGGAATAAATGTTCAGAATGCACAAAATCAACTCAGATCAGGTTAGCATTTGGCAGGTGGATGGAGATATTTACACAATCTGAACTCTGACTGCAGGAGGGATTGAAGATGTGGTAGTGGTATTCCCTAATTCTGATTCCTTAGGGTCTCCTCCTACAAACCAGCTTGGGCACTGCGGTCAGCAGAGAAGGCCCTGCTCTTGGTCCCACCCCCCATCTCAAGTAAGGCTGGTGGGAACGAGACAGAGGGCTTTCTCCATGACCGCCTCCCACCTCTGGAATTCCCTCCCTAAAGAAATAAAGCTGCCCCCTCCCTCCTCTCCTTAAAAAACACCCCTGAAGACTCACCTTTAATCACTAGCATAAGGAAAGGAGGAGGATTAGATAATGAGAGATCATTACCAGACATCTGGTTGAGAATTATTTCCTATCCGGGCTCTGCTAATCCATGTCAGCCCAGTTATCACTGGCCACAAAACCAACTCACACAATGTTCTGAACAATAGTTGGCTTCTGTAGATAAATGTGAATTGTTTTATGTTCAGTTTTTACATCATTATATAATTTTGTTTGATTACATTTGCTAAATGTTTTTATATGTGGGGTTTTTGGGAGTGACAATGTTGATACTTGTTTTATGGAGGCAATAAATGTTTGCCGTTGTATGTTGGAATCTGCCCTGAGTCCCCCTGAGGAATTAGGGTGGAATATAAATAAATTTGTTTATTATTATTATTATTATTATTATTATTATTATTTTACTGACACAAAAACACAGTATGACACAGCAAACGAGATATATATGCTGGATTTCGTAACACAAAATCACAAATCAAATACTTCCCAAGCGTCTAGAACTGTGTGATGTATTTTCGAATGATACGCGCAGATCCAAGTAAGGTGGCCTTTTGCAGTTGACAGATCATGATTTTGTCAATGTTTATTGTTTTCATATGCCAGCTGAGATCTTTTGGCATGGCACCCAGTGTGCCAATTATCACTGGGACCACTTGTACTGGTTTATGCCAGAGCCTTTGCAGTTCGATTTTGAGGTCCTGATAACGGCTGAGTTTTTCCTGTTGTTTTTCGTCAATTCGACTGTCATCTGGTATGGTGACATCAATAATCCAAACTTTTTTCTTTTCCACAATCGTGATGTCTGGTGTATTGTGTTCCAAAACTTTGTCAGTCTGGATTCGAAAGTCAGTATTTTTGCAAGTTTATTTTCCACTACCTTTGCAGGTTTATGAACCCACCAGTTCTTTACTACTGGCAGGTAGTACTTATGACATAAGTTCCAATTAATCATTTGGGCCACATAGTTGTGCCTCTGTTTGTAGTCTGTCTGTGCAATTTTCTTGCAGCAGCTGAGGATATGATCCATGGTTTCATCAGCTTCTTTGCACGGTCTCCATTTTGGGTCATCAACTGATTCTTCTCCTTCTTCTCCTTCTCCTTCCCCTTCCCTTTCTCCTTCTCCTTCTTCTTATCTTCAGAGGTATTTTATCAACACGCATTAGTTGATATGTGATCTATTGAAGCGACAGGCAGTATAACATTTACAGTTTCTTATCTGTATGTAATCCATGTGTCATTACCTGGAGAAAGCCATTTCTACTGTTCTCAGCATTATAGTATTAGATTCTAAAGGAAAAAATCAATCTATGCTGCTTTAATGGAGGTTGGGGGTCACCTAAACAAATCTTACAGTGAAAAGAAATATTTTAGACAAGCTTAGTTTAGATCCAGTATTATATGATCTTGTTAATCTAATTCTACAGAATCTGTGGAAGAGTATAATTAATGTATGCGATACAGAAGAGGAAGAATTAAGGAGCAGAAATTCTTAGAACTACAAATCAAAAGGCATTGTGCAAGCCTTGTTTTTCTGACAATGTTGTAGTATAGGGGGGTGGGAGAAGGAAGATACATGTTGCAAGAATGTAAGGATTACAACTGGAAGATGTCACTGTTGGCAACCCTTATCTAAATAAATGAATGAAACAGGAAATCTGTACGATAAAATGGTCACCAGGAAGGATCCCAAGACATTTCAAGGTAGATATTAGGGTTTTTCGCAAAAATGGGCAATCTCTTACCTTAGGACCAGGTAGTCCAACTCCTATGGAGCCTTTTGGGCCTGTTGAACCCTGAATTCCTTGCTCTCCCTGCAAATGGCATTGAAACAGAGCATTAAGTTTTGCAAAAGACTGCATATGCTGGAACACAGGGCAGCACAAGCTCGATTATTTAGGTCATTTTCTGTTTAAATGCACAGCTGCTTCAAATGTCTGCTAGACGAAGGTTTTGGTGTACCCATTTGCCTTCTTAGCAAACATACTGACAACAAACATGCACAACAGTGACAGATGTTTTGCAAGACATCTTATCCCTTTTAATACTTCAGTTTTCCTGTCACTTACATATGGAATTTCTAAATGACATGTTGCCAGAAAAAAACCTTCTGTAGCTTGGTTTTGTGAGTTTTAGCAGTGACAACATTTCCCTAAAAACAGTGTTCCCTAACATGTCCCTGTAAACTGATATGCAGATGTTCTCATCATGAGACAAGCTTAAACAATAGGAAACAGCATTTTATTTTAGGATTCCAAATCTTCCAAAAGTACTGAGTTCCAGAGTTTTATTAGTGCAAGGAATGACAGAATTCTGGTATTTCACCGAATGCTGACTGAGCGCCTTTTTCATCCTTGGATAGGCCTGGACATCTTTCGCCTCTGCTTGTATTTTGAAACAGAACAAAACTTAATGTATACACACTTTTATCCTTTATATCTAGTTTGAGATTTATTTTTTCACATGGCCAAAAAAAGAATATAAAATATACAAAACTGCAACAGTGCAAAAAAATCTTGTTCATTTGAAGATTTGCCTTGAGAGAGCTTTGAAATCTCAATAATCTCTCTATTTACAAGAATGCTGATTGAAATAACTGCATAATGAAAGGGAAGGGGACCATTTCCAAAATGTTTCCTTAGCATTTAGTTTCTTACCTTACTTCCTTGTATAGACTCTCCCGGAGGACCCAGTGCACCTGGCAAACCTTTTTGTCCTATAACGCCCTGTGTTTAAAATGCCATAAATTAAAATGAGAGAAAGAATAATTTAAGATTACAACATGGCTAGGGCCAACTGCCATTGAACTTTATCCCATGCCCTCTCTCCATTGTTACAGCTCTGCACCTATCTCAGTCCCTTGTCCTATAGTTTACAGCCAGGCCACGTTACAGCAACTTACTGCCATTGGTTGATGATTTTATTGAGTTTTGGCTGGTATTTTATAAGCATATGTGTTTTACTTATTGTATTTTATAGTGTTTATTTTATGTTCTGTTTTTAGGGACCTTGTGCCGTGTGTAAGCTGCGCCGAGTCCATTCGGTAAGATGGTGGTGGGATATAAGAATAAAATTATTATTATTATACTGCCCTGACCTTGGAGGGGGGGGGGGGAGACAGTATCTGCTGAATTTCATCCCCTTCTACACTGCCATTCCCTTTTCTTTTTCGTAATGTCGTAATTGTAAGTCTATGGGCAGGTTGCTCTTTTACTTGTAAAGTGCCTTGTACTGTGATGGTGGTATATAAATAAATGACAATAACAAATCCAGAAAGAGGTCAGAATGTCCCAGGGCTAGAAAAGTTTGATGTTGTAACATTGGGGGCTTCTATACCGGTGGGACAGTGAATCTGGTCTGTGTTTTAATCCAGTTTTGAAGAGATAGCAATGGTGCTGAATCTATACTGAAGAAAGGCTTAGACATCTTGGACAGCTCTTTTAAAGTTTGGATTACAGCTCAAAGCAGATTAATTACTTCAACTGACATGGACTACACCAACTTCTCTTGGTTAAATTAAAATTATATTTTTTTACATTTGAAAAGAATGATTTAATTCTAATGTATTACTTTAAATATTGTTATTTCCAAGGTCTGCTACAGAGATCTGAAACATGTATCTATAAGGAAGGATTTTAACTCACCTTGGGACCAGGTATTCCTACTCCCCTTGGTCCAGAAGGCCCTGGGGGTCCTCTTGGTCCTTGTTCTCCCTAAGGAAAAGACAGAAAGACTTTCAACATAGTCACTGACATCTCATAGATGTAAATGGGCAGACATGCTTGATTTCAGCACAAAGGGGTAGAAGTATTACAAGGCATTCCACTCATACCAGTTTACCATTGCCAGGCACTTCCCATAAGGAGTAATAACTACAAGCCATATTAATGGTTATACCAAAATTATAGTACATATTCATTTGTTTATGCAATATATTAGTTTGTCAGCATTATTTCAAGATAGAGAAAACAACTGCATTGGGACAAAGACTAATGACTGCCCTGAATGACTGTGGCATCACTTCCAGATTCATTTTTTGTCTGATCTGGAACTGCATTTGTAGAGTTTTTGAGGTGGGGATTGGGAAAGGGAAGAAAAGAGTCAAACCACCTTATTGTACAGTGACTTCAATGGCTTTTTGAATACTTGGGGCCAAAATGCCCCAAAGGATTTGTGGATGTTGAGTTTGTATTGTAACGGAAATAATAAAAAAGGCCTCACCAATATAAAGCTATATTACATAGATAATCAATTAAGCTAAATAGCGGAAGGTATAACAAATCTAGGAGACTTGGAATGGTTAGAAGAAAGTGATAAAGGAATGGATTTGAGGTTGAAATATATTTTTACATAGATAAAAATGAAAGATACAAAAAACTGGCATAAAAAGCTAAATAATCTTTCTCTGAAAAAATGTATGACTATATGAATGAAATCTATATAAATAAAATGTAATGTTTGTTTGTGAGATTAACATAACTTAAAAGCCACTGGATGAATTGACACCAAATTTGGCCACAAGACACCTATCAGGCCAATGAGTGACCATCACTCATAAAAACAAAACAACAACAACAACAAAAACAAACAGTTGAAAGTACTTTAAAACCCAAAAAACCTAAAAGACATTACAGCGCATGTGCGAAAACGACTCCAGGGTCCCACCCCCTCCATTTCTATTTGAGCCAAGTGTTAATATTGCAGTTGTCCACCTTTGAATAGCATAGCACCTAAAAAGCCTGGCTTCTACCAGCCAGCAGGAAACCTTTGGTGGGAGGAGTTCCTGAGCCCAGATTGTTTCATGTCTGGAAATCTTCTGTTTTCTGAGGGCCACAGTAACGCATGGCTGGGTACAGCTAGTATAAAATAAAGTTGTTCCTAGGTATTTCACTACTAACATCAGTAGTGATCTTAGAAAAAAATCCCAACAGTGTGAAAACATAATAGAAATTCTGCAATAGTAATTTTTAAAAAATTAAATAAAAAATAAATGGGAAAATGTCTTTAATGTTTAAAGAACGTTTAAGAAGGCATCAGGTATGCCACTTTGAAAGGGGCCTTCTGCAGTGCAGGCACCACCACCAACCACTGAGAGGAATGGTTCATATACAGCTTTCTGCTGTGCCCAATGTGGCCAAGATCCCCAAAGAAAGGCCTCAGGTAAAGATCCATTATTTACCATATGAGGGTTTCACTAAAAAAGCCCCTTTGTAAAGGATTGTTTGGGTGAAAGAAGAAATAGGGGGAAATAACCCTCTAATACTTAGTTCATTTAATGTCTCCTGTCCAGATGGTTTTCCTTGCACATTCAATCATGTGGTGGGAAAACCTGCCAGGAGGGCAATTTGGAGCAATTTCCCAGCTCCACAACACTTCTAAACATCTACACTAATAGTTCCTTCCACAAATTAAATAAATAAGAAAGAAATGTATAACAAAACAGAGATTTAAATAATGGGACAGCTGTGAATAATAGCTGTTGAAAAATAGCTTCATCTACTTGGAAGAGACAAAGGCCTGCTGCATCCAGAGGGGTCACCACTTTGCAGCCCAAAAGGAAAAATGAACTTTGAAACATGGAACATACGGACATCGTTGGACAACACAGATAGTGAATGCCCTGAACTCAGGACTGCTATTATAGCAAGGGAGCCGGGACGCTTTAACATTAATATATCAGCACTTCAGGAAACCCAGAGAGCAGGAGATGGACAGCTGAAGGAAGAAAAAGGAGAAACAGCTCCAAGAAAAATGCAGAGAACAAAATCAACTTCTGTACATGGTGCAGCATTTTTCCAAAAGAAACAGAGTGTTTGGGACATTCATAGGGAGACCAAGATGCTTGTCTATAAAGCTTGACCTCCTAACTCTGTTATACATCTGCAAAACATGGGCTGTCTACAGACGTCGCACTCAACTATTGGAACAATTTCATCAGCATGGCCTCCAAAAAATCCTGCAAATCTCTTGGGAAGACAGGCAGACAAATGTCAGTGTTCTGGAAGAAGCAAACACCACTAGCATAGAAGCGATGATCCTCCACCATCAACTCCACTTGACTGGCCATGTTGCTCAAATGTCTGATCTCCTTCTCCCAAAGCAGTTACAGAACCCCAACTCAAGAATGGAAAATTCAATGTAAGTGGGCAGGAAAAGAGATTTAAAGATGGGCTTAAAGTCAACCTTAAAAACTGTGGCATAGATACCAAGAACTGGGAAGCCCTGGCCCTTGAGCATTGTAATTGGAGGTCAGATGTTTCCAACAGTACTGTGGGATTCGAAGAGGTACAAATGGAATTCGAAGAGGCACAAGAGTAAGGCGCGTCAAGCCAACTCTGACCAGAACTGCTTTCCGCCTGGAAATTGATGTCCTCACTGCAGAAGAACATGCATGTCAAGAATAGGTCTCTACAGACTACCAAGATCCTACACTTGGAAGGCAGTCATGCTTGGACACGAGTGATCACCAATGATGGTGATGATGTGCATTGGAAACCTACTGCTGATTCTGGCTACTCTGTGCAGGTACATGTGCAAAGCATAGATATGTGTACAGTCAATTAATATACTAAGGGTAGTATTTTGCTCCTACACTGTGTGCCCTTATGTATGAAAAGGCACATGAGTGAAGGAACCCAAACACTGCAAACTAAGCCGACTTTGGCTATTTGTGCTTAGAAGCACAGATATGCCACATGACACCAGCAGGTGGTGGCAGAGGATCCATAAACTTCCATATGAGTTTTTTTGCAGGTGGAAAGCAGTGTATCCACCCATCAGCACATGCACTTTGTGGGCTTTAATTCTTTGCAGAATTACTTGGGAATAAAATGAGGCCCAAATACCTTAAAGTCACCAGATTCTATCTTGGAATTTAAACTCAGCCTGGATTAGTACTTCAATAAGAGACCAACAACAAATATCAGGTGATTTAGACTGCATATCAATGGAAGTAATTGCAAAAGCACCTCGGAGTATTCCTTGCCTAAGAAAACCCTGATACACATGTTATCCAATGAAGGACAACCTAATATTCTTTGTGGAGAGAAAATGCAAGGTATAAACAAGCATAATAATAATAATAATAATAATAATAATAATAAACTTGGCCTGCACTTAAATACAATCGGCGCTGACAAAATTACCATCTGCCAGCAGCAGAAGGCCACCTTACTGGGATCTGCACGCATCATTCGTCGATACATGACACAGTCCTAGACACTTGGGAAGTGTCTGACATGTGATCCAATACAACAGCCAGCAGAGTGATGTTGTCCGCTGTCGACCCATCTTGTTGTGTTTCAAATAATATACTAGGTGATTTAGACTGTATATCAGTGGATATCAGCTTCTCAAGTTGCTCTTGACATGACCAAAAAAAAAAAAAAAAGCTTAAACATGATATTCTTCTTGTGATTGACTCACCCAGGGACTATGTTGGTGGTTTTGGTCATGGCTCCTTTACTGAGTTAGGAGGTTGGCTGTTTCTCCTGTCATAATCCCTTGAGCTGATAGTGTTCTTAAAGCTTGGTGTTTGAATGGCATTTACTTGTATAGTATATTCAGTTATGACCTTAGTCCTGCTCCTTTGTCCTCAATGCCTACCCTATGTACAACAAAACCTATCCCTATAGTTATCATAAATCCCACAGGCAATTTTGCGTGAATTGGGCCTCTTGTTATATAAAATTCCTCCTCCCTGTTCTTCACATATGTGAGCCATATATCAAGGCCAGAGAACAGAGCTCCGATTGAGCTCTGAGGAACATTCTGAAACGGCAAAGCTTCGTGGCATTCCAACTTGACTTGTATGTAAAATTATTACTAGAGGGCTCTTCAGTTAAACAAAGCTGGTTTAAAATACGTGCAGAATGGAGCAGTGTAATTTCAATTAGGCATGACAGTTGGATGGGGAAATGACCCTTGGGCACGATTACCCCTTCCTTTCAAAATGTCATGAATCCTTTCCCCCAAAATGAAACACTGCCACATTTCTCAAAGCAGAAATAACAGCAATTTGTATACTGCATTCCACAGATTTTAATGTTTCAGGCAGGAGCAAGAACTCTGTTAGTGATTTTAGGCACATAAATATGGCTTATGTATTCATATATTTGTTTTTGGAAAAGGTGCAAAGGTCTATTCTGTAGCCCTTTCCACAATACCCAAAACCTCCCTCCTCCAGCGATGTTCGGGGGGGGGGGGGGGGGGGGGGGGGGGGAGAAGAACTGCTGGTGTTGCTTAATGAGACAGGGAAGGGAGGCAATTTTAACCATGAATTGAATATTCCCTACCTAAGAAAATAATAATAAATAATCACACACTTTAGTTATATTCCGCTTTATCCCCCCAGAGGGACGCAGAGTGGATTACAGTACACATATAGGCAAACATTTAATGTCTTTTACACAATGAACAATGACATACAATACACAGATCATGTAAAGTGTCTGAAGGTGATGCTCAGTTCTAACCTTGTTCCATTTTCCATGCTGAGGAGCCTGCTGTTGTAGACATCTCCAATCTTTTTGCTGGCATGTCTACATGGGGTGCCTTTTACCTTCCTGCAGAGGCGGTACGTATTGATCTACTCACATTGCAAGCTTTCGAACTGCTAAGTTGGCAGAAAGATAGGGAGCTCACCCCAACTTACCGCTTCCAACTGCTAACCCTCTGGTCAGCACCTTTCCCTGCAGCTAAGCTAGAGGTTTAACCGCTGTGCTACCATGGCTGATATGAAATCCATTAGGTCACCATATGTTGACAGACAATTGGTGCTGTTTGTAATATAGTGTGATTTGAGCTTTGGGCTAGGACACTAGAAGACCCGGTTTGAATCTTCTTTTGACCATAGAAATTTACTGGGTGACCTTGGGCAACTCACACTCTCAGCCTCAGAAAAATACAAAGACAAAGGATCTCTGAACAAATCTTGTCAATACAATCCCATGATAGAGTCACTATGAGTCAGAGATGACTTGAAGGCCCAGAACAACAATAAGCAGGTACATATTAATACAGCACATAATACCTTTGGTCCTGGATCACCTGATCCTTTAAGGCCTCTTGGTCCCTGAACTCCAGGCAATCCTCGAGGGCCCTGTAATGAAAAGAAGTCAAACTCACAAAAAAGACAGGGGATACTGAGATTTTTATCTTAGTTTAGAATTAATTCAGCAGACTTGGAGAGGTCATAGCTCACTGCCAGCACATTTGTTTTACAAACAGGATCTGTTAAAAACATTTTGCTTACTCAAGCACAGCAACAAATGTCTCCATTTGACTACCCACCCAAGACAAGCTAAAACAGAGATTTCCAACCTTTGGTCTTCCGGGTGTTTTGGATTTCTGCTCCCACAATTCCTCATAGCTGGAAAGGTGGCTGGGATATCTGGGAGTTAAAGTTCAAAACATCTGGAGGACCAAAGGTTGGGAACCACCGAGCTAAAGCAACCAGGTTATTTTGCCCATGAAACAGAAAATCCCTAAAGAACCACTCCTTCTTTAGCAATAAAAATACTATAAGAACAATACTATTTCTTGACCTTTAATCAGTCACCTATCTATGTAAAATTGGAAAAGACCTCCATCTGAAATCCTGGAGAACAATATCAAATTGATAGACTGTGGCTGTGGATATGATAGCTTTATATTTATACCTTTTTGAAGCAGGGGGCAAAGAAGCAAAATAATCTATTTTAAGATTTTGAGAACTTACAGATGGACCTGGAAAGCCATCTCCTTTTGCCCCAGGAGCTCCTGGTGATCCAATTAAACCTGGAGCGCCCTGAAAACAAATTTGAAAATTAATATGAATCTGACATCATTAGTGAAAAAGATGAATATTCACATGTGCCAATCAACCAAAGCATGGCAATATGGAATCATTGTATTCCTGTTGGAAATAAAATGAGATTGGTGGAAGCTACTATTAGAGATGACAAAGCATTCACAGTGCAGCTATTAACAGGAAGTTTACAGGTTTGAGTGAGGCAATACTATGAGCAAGTTGGTTTACAGTGGTGATTCCCAACCTGTAGTCTGTGGACCACCAGTAGTCTGCAAGAACTAAAATATGGTATGCGGTCTCAACATTACTACACCATTACAACAAGAGTGACTGGTCTCGCTAAACCCTCTTATAGTGCTGAGGCTTACTAAATATGGTTTTCTGTAGGTGAGCAGATCGACTACTAGATGGCATATGTTCTGTATTAGAAACGAGTTGATGTGGTCTATCCAATGCAATTTTCTGAATCAGTACCCCAAATAACCAAACCAAATCTATAGCTGATAAAAAAACTGATTCGTAACCTTTTTGGTATTAATGTTGGAGAGTGGTCCCTGGTCAAGCGGTCCCTAGTCAATTAGTCCCTGGTCAAAAAAAGGTTGGGAATCACTGGTCTACAGAGTGTTACATTTAGAAGATGCCCTAGGGAAGGCCCAGGAAAAATTTAAAACATGTGATCAGATCAGAATGTCTTAGGTTTGATGCCAACTTGGGCTATTTCACTTGACATGTTTTTTTGTCCACAATGAGATAACATTCTTAATGCATTACAAGAATTTGTGTGCCATACCGATTGATAGATCAATTAATTGGCATGACAGGATTTTTAAACAAAAAGTTTGTTGCTGTAAAAAACATTGCATTTGCACAAAACAAATATTTGTGGAAAATCTGTTATCCTTCTGAAAAATATAAAGGTGCAAAACATGAAAAATACTCCAAAATTACTCAAAATTATTTTATCTTATCCAACTATGGAGCAAAATATTAAACTTTCTTGTTCTTGTGCACAAGCATAAAATAAGCAAAGAGTTAAAACCTTTGTCAGGAGGCAGAACAGGGTATTCCCATTTTAATTAAATGGTTTATTAAGCTGTGAACAATTGCATACATACAGACAAGCACAAGTGTTATGCAGATCAGGATAATCTTTTCCCTTTATCTGTCACCCAAATATTTCAATATTTATTTTAGTGCTTTATTATTAGTCACTTACACATTTGTTATATTAAAACTACCTACCTTAGGTCCCACAATTGAAGGTCCAGGATTTCCATCACTTCCAGGAGGTCCGGGATATCCTTGTTCCCCCTGAATATAAACATAATAATGCGCTTCGTCATTTATATATCTGTCCTGTTTAGGAGGGGAGTCTATCTAGTTCTGGTATTTCTTGTTCGGGTAAAAGCACAATCTGGGATAGCAGATATGCAAATCACAGCTATGTGAACATTGCAAAATAGGCAGGATTTGTTACAGCTGACTATGATAAAAATCAATCTATATGAGCCAAAATTAATCTCTGTCCCAATGCAGTTATCCTCCCTATCTTGAAATAATGCTGACAAACTAATATATTGCATAAACAAATGAATATCTACTATAATTTGGGTATAAACACATAGTGTAGGCATTGCTCCTTATGGGAAGTGGATGGCAATGGTAAATTGGTATGAGTGATATGCCTGGTACTACTTCTACCCTTTGTGTTGAAATCAACATGGTCCCCCAAGCAGTGTGGCCACTATCCATGCGAGCTGCAGGATTCTGAAAAGCGAAATCCAAAAAAGAACTACACAAAGCCTAATGGTATTGGGCTTTGTGTAGCAATGCATATCATTCCAATGCAAAAAAAATCCCAGATTCAGTTTTTGGCATCTGCAGGTAAAGCTGGAAATGACTTCTCTCTGAGACCACAGTCACCCTCTGCCAATAAGTATAGTGAAGAGAACAGTGCAACAGTCAGACTTAGTATATAAATAGATTGCTATGTTCCTCTAATCCAGGCACGGGCAAACTTTGGCCTTTCATGTGCTTTGGACTTCAACTCCCATAATTCCTAACAGCCAGTAGGTTCTTAGGAATTGTGGGAGTTGAAGACCAAAAACACCTGGAGGGCCGAAGGTTCCCATATCTGCTCTAACCACTCTCTTTGTGCAAGCCTAATATAAATACATGTTACATGTTGTACTCCGTTCTACCTGTGACAATCATATAAGAGAGAGGTCATTTACCTTAGGGCCAGGTAGTCCACGAACTGAAGGCCCAGGGTTACCAACTGCACCTTTGATTCCAGATTCACCCTGAAAGGAAAGAAATGATGAGTTATGGTTGTTGTTGCTTATTCGTTCAGTTGCTTCAGACTCTTCATGACCTCATGGACCAGCCCACGCCAGAGCTCCCGGTTGGCCGTAGCCACCACCAGCTCCTTCAAGGTCAAGCCAGGCACTTCAAGAGTTATGGTCGCTGAATGTCAAATACATTTGTAATGCACAACCTGATGGCAACATTTTCTCAAAATGGCCAGAATCTCAGATCTGTTGGCTGGTGTTTGCTCTTTTGAGGATTCATACAATGTCTTGCCTAACAAGGAAACTAACTCACTTGATGGACAGATATAAGAAGGAATGGACATAGCTTAGTCATACTTTCAAAAATTCCCCATGACATTTTTTTGGCCCAAGGTCTCCACAAATACTCAAGTCAATGACTGGAATCAACCCATTGTATTTGTTCTTGGATTTGTAAACTTATTTAATCACAACATTGGAAAGCATTTCAAAGATCACTGCAGTTTTCTGAACTAAGAAAACTAGGCCACATTCGTTTTTTGTGTGTGTTTTAGCTTTTTAAATAAATAGCTGCATTAATAGCAATCCAATCACTTTGCTCTTCTTTGCTAATTGAACAAGCTTTGTGGCTGGTTTGCATCTTAGGTAATGTTAAATCTGTTTCCTCTAGTGAGCTTAAGACAATGTACATGGCTCTCTTTCGCCTCACTTGCTCCATATCAAAAGTAGGAGGTCAGGCTGAAGAACAGGGATGCCTGGCCTAAGTTCAACTAGGTCATGTCTTGGGAGAGGACTAGAGCCTGGATCTTCCAAGTTACAGTTCAGCCCTTCATTGGTTCTCCAATGCGGCAAATGACTAAACTCCTACTTCTGAGTTCCTGATCCTGGAAAGGTATCCTTCCTTTTCTTTATTTGGAAAAGATTGAGATGGTAGTGGAGACTTTCTTCATAAACTTTTTATTCCATACTTATTCCAAGCAGCTATGCAAGTAGCTGGGTATGGGCCACAGAGATGCATGTGCACAATGTACTCTTGGGATACAGAATCCACTGGAAATAAACATACCTTTGGACCTGGAGAACCTGCTATACCTTTTGGACCATCCATTCCTTGAGCTCCTTTTTGTCCCTCTTCACCCTAGCCAAAACCAAGCATAAATCATAAAAGTCCAGTTTCAGCAAAGAACTTCTTTCTACTTAACAGTATATTAGAATATCTAAACTGAGATAAAAAGTATCAATCATGCAATTTTGTCTGAGTTTTGCTTCTAGAACCATCACTAGGCCATACACATACTTGTATAGAAGATATATTAAACCATACCTTTGGGCCAATGTCACCTTTCCCAGGCAATCCTTCTGGACCTCTTGCACCAGGTGCTCCTTGTTCTCCCTAGTGTGAATGAGACAAAGATGCTCATATCATTTCACCCATTTCTATCTATCTGTCCATCCATCTATACACACATGCATACATTTTATACCAGAGCTTGGATTCTTGCCAGTTATCTTCTATCTCAATAATAAATTATACAACATGCTGGGAAACCAAGTGAGAAAATGCTATCATGTTCATGTCCTGCATGTGGGCCTTCTAGAGGTATCTTGTTGACTACTGCAAGAAACTAGGAAATCAAGTAATGTTATTACATTGCTAGCTGGGAGGCTTATGTTACTATCTTATATATAGTCTGAAATTATCTTATATAGATGGAGGATTCTAGTCTTAAAATGAATTGAATCCCCACCGCAAAATAAAGAGGCCAGACACAAGATATGGAGAAATAAATGGGCCATTTATTGACCTAATTAGAAACTGTTAATTGAGCTAATTAACTAATTGTGGGGGAAACACTGCGACATGGGTAATGGTGTGAGGTCAGGTATCTTTTGGGACCACCTGCCAAACCAATCATTGGGTGAAACACCTGACTCCAGGGGCACTCCCCATTGATGGTTTGCCATCCCAGCCGATCCTTACTGGAAGGCTGTCCCTAGGAACCTCCCCACCGGACCATAAAGCCCCATAGGAGAGCGGCAAACCCCCCAAAGGAAGCACTAAAGGAGATATTTTGGGGGACCCCTAAGCCATAGAGCCTACAGAGATAAACCCAAAATTCTCCATTCTCCCCAGTATGAAGGGGTGCCAAGGTGTACGCCGATCCAAGCTCTCAAACTTCCTGCCAGTTACGCCTATTTATACAACTCCTCCCATTTAAATTCCTTACTCCCAGCAGCTTTAATATGGAGGTAGGCAAAAAACCCTCCTCTCTGAGGAGGGAAAAAATTCCTACTCGGCCCTAGTGCGACCAACTTAACTCATATTGCACATAACTCCAAGGGTGGGTTGCGCTCCAGGAAGGAGAATGTAGAGAGGAGGGGGTTACCTGTTGGAAGGTTCCCTAGCCCCCTCCCCTCTGGCAGCTGGCGGAAGTGCCAGCCAGAACCAACTGGTCATTTGCGGCAGGGATTCAATTGCTCCCCTCCAGCCCTCCGGTTGGCTCCTTCTGTCCAGAGGTGTGTGTTTTCACAAGCTGTACCAATAAGGTATAATCTTTCAAAAAGCATGGATGTGAGGCTTTGTCCTGGATGGATGAGGAGAGCTGGCTGAAAAGAGTAATTTCGATTCTAAATAGAAATGTGCATGAGTAATAAATTAAACAATGTTACCTTTTTGCCTGGTGTTCCCATTAATCCTGGTTTCCCATTTTGTCCAGGAAATCCTTGACTCCCTGGTTCTCCCTTTGAAAGAAAATCCAAACCAAGTTTTAAGACACATAAATAGCAATATTTATTTGTTTGTTTTCCCTCAAGAGTTGGTCTCAAAGGCGAGGATCACTGATACCCTTCAAGGCCAACAGCCCACAGAGACCCATTGCTAAATCTCTGAGAAACCTATCTCTTCTCCTTCCTGTTGTCACTATCTTTTGTTTTGAGCAGCCTTTGCTAAAGCTTTACAACGTTTCCCAACATTTGGGAAAATTCCAGCTTCCAAAATGCCCAGGTCACCATGTCCAATGGGGTATTCTGGAAGCTGCTGTCTTTGAAAAGTTACTTTTCCATGCTTTGCACAAAAGCAAGAGGCGAGGATTCAATCACCTTGAGGCCAAAGGCGTTTCACTCACTGGTTCTTCAAAGACCAGAGAAGGTATTGTTGCCAATACATACTGTTTTCTGGCATTTCTTTCAGTGTCATATCTCCTTCTAAATGCACCTGGGTATCACAGTGAAGATTAACTGGCAATTTACTCAGGGTGAAATTAGACATTAAGGGGACATGCATATTCGCTACAAGTAATTCATATTCCTTTCCACATTGGGATTTCCTGTACATTTTACCTTCCAATGACAAATAATGAAACAAATCAAACAAAATACAAGCTATGTGGGAAAGGAAAAGGACATATGACAAACAAAGGTCGTCCATCATTGGGAAAGTAGATACGCAAAACATGTGATAAATATACAATCTAATTTGGACATCACTTTCTGTATGTGCACTTCTCTTTTTTTCTTCCAGTGAGAGGAAATTGCCTGAATAATGTCAGAGGAGGAAAGCAAGCCACAAGCTGGGTAATACCACTCCTGATATATATAAATATAACGTGGGGGTGGGGATCATAACAAACAACAGCAAAATAGCATGCACCAGTTATTGAACGAAATTCTATATGTTTGTATGCAAAAACACACTCACTTTAGGTCCAGGTTGTCCAATTCCTGGTGCTCCGACATCCCCTTGTATTCCTGGTGCACCCTCTTGACCCTTGAGGAAGGGGTTAGATGGAAATTAATAACAAATATTATACCACAACTGTTTCTTTATACAATGGTGTCTTTTACATGGATGTATTTATTTTTAAATTGTTCTCTAACAAGTTTCCAATGTCCTACCACCCTAAATTAAAATAACAATAGAATAAATTAAAACACATTGCAAGTTTTAGTGTAGTTGTTTAATTAAAGATAGAATGTCATTTATCACTAAAGGTAAAGGTTTCCCCTTAACATTAAGTCTAGTTGTGTCCGACTCTGGGGGGTAGTGCTCTGCTCCATTTCTAAGCTGACGAGCTGGTGTTGTCCGTGAACGCCTCCAAGGTCGCGTGGATGGCATGACTGCATGGAGCGCTGTTGCCTTCCCGCTGGAGCGGTACCTCTTGATCTACTCATATTTGTATGTTTTCGAACTGCTAGGTTGGCAGAAGCTGGGTCTAACACCTGGTCCCCAAATTTGAACTGCCAGCCTTTCGGTCAGCTAGTTCAGCAGTTCAGCGGTTTAACCTGCTGTGCCACCAGGGGCTCCCATTTATAACTATAGATTGCTAAAATGTAATTGCTAAGTGGGCCTGTAGCTGCATTAATGCTGCAAGAACCAGATCTTGTGGGGAAATAGCTGAAGGTTACAACTTCTAGAATTATTTAGTTAGCATGACCAATGGGCATACTAGTGGTGGTTCATGGAGACCTTGCAGATGTCCCACCACATTTCCAGTTTTGACTTTTAAATATTTGATTATTCAGGGATTTGAGTAAAAAAAGTTATCTTGAGACATCTCTAGGTCCTCAAGTGTGACTATATGGTCAACTAATAATAATAATAATAATCATCATCATCATCATCAACAACAACAACAACTTTATTTGTACCCCGCCACCATCTCCCCTATGGGGACTCGGAGCGGCTTACATGGGGCCAGGCCCGAACAACAAATTACAATAAAGAGAACCAAAAAAACAAATGAAAACACAAACAATGAACAACATCATAATTACATAGAACATATGAATACATAACAATATAAAAAATTACAATAGACACAGACCAGGGGTCCTCAAACTTTTTAAACAGAGGGCCAGGTCACAGTCCCTCAAACTGTTGGAGTGCCAGATTATAATTTGAAAAAAAATATCAGTGAATTCCTATGTACACATCACATATCTTATTTGTACTGCAAAAACATTTTAAAACAATACAATAATTAAAATGAAGAACAATTTTAACAAATATTAACTTACTAGTATTTTAATGGGAAGTGTGGACCTGATTTTGGCTGATGAGATAGGATTTTTGTTGTTGTGTGTGCTTTCAAGTCATTTCAGACTTATGTTGACACTGAGTGAGGGCTGGGTAAATGACCTTGGAGGGCCGTATCCGGCCCCCGGGCCTTAGATGAGGACCCCTGTTGTGGACAGGCAAGCAGCAGAAAGTATCCAACTTCCATTTAGCCACATTATTTCCAAAGGCAATGAAAAGGAAAGAGCTGCTAATTTATTTTCTACTGGTGGTAAAAACAGCACAATGAAAAAGCAATAGTCCAAGTTATGGGTATTACCCATTGCTCCCTATGGCATGACAAATACTTATTGACCTTTGGATATATGACCTGAGCATTTTTGTAAAGGCTAGAACACTGCTGGAAGCCCGAACTTGATAAAATGCAATCATTTAGGCACTTGGCGATCACCCACGGATATCTTAGATGTTTCCCACAAAGAACAAAGCTGGAATGCAATTCAAAAATGTGGGGGTGGGGACCATAACAAAGTGTTTTATTTTCTATCGCTGCCAACAAGTAACATACTTTAAAGAAACAATTGCTAAATTTTTGAGTAGGAAAACATAGGTGTCTGATGAAGACATTATTTGAAAGGTGGATGCACATTTACTGCCAAATTTTCTGTTTCTTGCTTTTGCTGTTGGAGCAGAGCAAGTAGCAAATGAGTTATTTGGTAGGAGAGGTTTGAGTTTGGAAGCTAAACTGTTTGCAAGGGTTAGAACAGCTATCCCCAATCAGATGCCTCACAGCCGTGTGCCAATACAAGTCCCATCAACTTTAGCCAGAAGGACAATCAGTTTGGAGGAGGCTGATGTAGAATCTCAATGGATGTCTTTTCGACCTGAACAGTAGTTTACATTTGTTGGAGTCAAATAGACTTCAATTTATGGCAATCATTGATTTTTCCTTGGCAATATTTGTTCTGAAAAGGATTATCATTGTGTTTTTCTGAGGCTAATAAAGTGTAACTTGCCCAAAGTCACCAAGTGGGTCTCCTTGGCTGAGTAAAAATTTGAGCCTTGTCTTCCATAGTTCTGATCCAATACTCAAACTGCTATACCATGATAGATCCCTATTTTAAATTATTCCCATTATTTTATATAAAGACTTCAGAAGACCATGTTAGGGTAATTTGAGTAAATTAAGTCTGCCCTCTTCACTTTTAAAATTTGGAGATATCTTCTGTTTATTTTTTAAAAAGCAGGAAAAGAGAGCAAATAACACAAGCTATTATGACCTATTTTCCATTCCTGTATTTCATTCCTTTAAATCAGTAGTTCCCAATCTTTTTTTTTTTAACCAGGAACCACTTGACCAGGGACCACTCTCCAACATTAGTATCAAAAGGGTTACGAATCAGTTTTTGGTCAACTTTAGATTCGTTTTGGTTATTTGGGGTATTGATTCAGAAAATTGCATTGGATAGACCACATCAGCTCTAGTTTCTGATACAGAACATATGCCACCCAGTAGTCACCATCTGCTCACCTACAGAAATCCATATTTAATAATCTAGAGCTGATGTGATAGTAGGAATCTTTCGTGGGAAGTCAGCCTCTCCCCTCCTGACATCCCTGTTGCCTCGGCACTATAAGAGAGTTTCGCAAGACCAAATCACTCTCTTTCCTGCGTGGTTTCGAGGCAAAGGTGTAATAATGGTTAGGCCACAGACCATATTTTTGTTCTTGTGGACCACTGCTGGTCATGAGACCACAGATTGGGAGCCACTGCTTTAAATGAATGTTCTCCCATTCTTAGCCGACTTCTAGTATAAGAAGCATTAGTCATACATGTCTTTGAATTGCCTTGTCAACCCCGTTAATTTCACAGGGTATTGTTAAATTATAAATACTCAGAGGTGTAACATATGAACTTAAGTTTCACCATAGTACCTTTTGTCCAGGGAGGCCTAGGCCTCGTGATCCCTTTGCCCCAGGCAGACCTTTCAGACCCTGAATTCCCTACAAAAAACCAAAGTGTTCAGTTAAATAAGATTGTATTTCACAACAAGGTCCAGGAAACTCACTTTTCAAAGCACTAGCAACAGAGTGAATTGGGTCATAAACTGACCACATCCCCTTGTACGAACCTGCCCAGGCCCTGAGGTCTACAAGAGAGGTCCTTCTCTCAGTCCCACCTCCATCTCAAGCTCGGTTGGTGGGAATGAGAGAGCGGGCTTTTCTTCTTGGTGGTTGCCCTACGACTCTGGAAATCCCTGCCCAGGGAAGCCAGAATGGCCCCCTCCCTACTATCCTTCCAGTAGTAGGCTAAAATCTTTTTATTCAGATAGGTGTTTAAGTCAGGGAATGCTATGGTTTTATATGCTTTTATGGTTTTAACTTGATTTTTAAAAAATATTAATCATGTTTAATATTGTTTTAATATTTGTATATTGTATATTTTAAGTTATATTGTAATACTTTTAATTGTGAACTTTGTTGAGCCTCCGCATGGAGAGAGAAGGCGGCTATAAATAAACATAATAATAATAATAATAATAATAATAATAATAATAATAATGTATTTCGTTAGTCCCAAAATCTGTCCTACATTGTTAATTCAACACCATCTTAATTATTCCCTTTTCAGTATAAAGGCATGAGTTTAGTATTATGTTTCATGCTATAAACCCTGATGCCTCCAAAACAGCCTTCATACCCAAAATTATAATTTAACAAATTTTGGTACTCAAAGATATGCGTGTGGGGTTTTTTTTTTTTTTTTGGTTTTTTTTTTGTTTAGTTTTGTTTTTTAGATTTTGGATTGCAAAAGATCAATCTACCCAGATTATGTATAATTATTCAAAATGTTGGTTTCTAAATATTATAATTGACACACTGAAACCAAACTGGCAGAAATCTGGAAATTAAAGAAAGTAAATTCTAGACCATTAAAAATAACATTGGCCTGATTTCAGTATTACATCACTAAAGTTTCCTGGCCTGATGAAATGCCATATAAAAATAATGCTATATCACATGGCAACACTGCATTATGTAACTGAAGATGTATACATCTAGTGGGTTTTTAAATTACGACTTTCCTCCACTCTAAAAGGAACTAGGTAACTTGGAACTCATCTCAGGAGAAAACAGAATTGAAATTCAATCAGTCAAACAAATTTGCATGAGGATGCATTAACTACAATCCTGCAACGTTTCTGAGTTTGCTCGTCTTCAGAAAAATTCATTTCTAGGACTAGCCTTCTTCCTGTCAACCTGATAACACTTGGGTTTGAATGAGATTATGATGGCTTAATTCCAAATTTTATGAATCAGGATACAAATATGCATGGAGTCAAGATGAGCTTTTAGTTAGGTTAGCCCAATATGGAAAATGGTTGGAACACAATAAGTCCATGGGGGCCAATAAATTTCTCTTGGCTATGGCTCATCATTTCCTTGAGTGCAATCCTCAAGGAAATGATGTGTCTGCAATCCATGTCCATATATGTTCAAACAACAAAAATGCACCTAGCCAGAACTAGTCATTGCCCTGGTGTAAATGTACCTGATTGCCTGGGACTCCAATTCCAGGTGGGCCAATGGGGCCCGGTGGTCCATCGATCCCTCGTTCACCCTGTATGAAAAATGTTCTATAAATTGATGTTTTAATTTAAACATCATTATCACAAGTGTTGCTGCTGTCATCATTCTGTTTTTAAGCTTGCAATGTCTTGTTCTACATTAGAAAGAAGCACGCAGGGGAAGATACAAAAGTATGGGACATAATGGTCCTGAATCAGGAAGCAGTAATATAACACATACAATAATGTTTTTTGTAGCTACGGTCTTTACATTTCCTTGCATTTCTTTTTCATGTCTGATTTTCTGTTCCTTGAAGGCGTTGGTCTTCATGACAGTTTCTCCAAAAATAATATATTTTGTTTTATACATGATACCTTATCTCCTTTGATAGGTAGGCCTGGAGCTCCGACTGGTCCTCCTGGTCCTTCAGAACCCTTTTCGCCCTGAAAAAATTAGACCTTAATATTAAATTAAACCCATTTGTTATGACTTTAGGGATTTTGCAAAAATCCATCAATATAATGGCTTTCCAATATGGGCAGGCATTTATTACTCCACATGAAGGTTCAATTCTTTACCTTAGATCCATTTTTCAAAAGTGCATTGGGCTACTGCTCTCCTCATACTATTTTAAACATAATCTATGCGCACCACACTCAGTACTGTGGAAGATTAAACATTACAACAAACATGAGGAAGTGAGAATCTTTACTTCTAGACCAGCTGTACTGTTAGACATGGTGAACGGGACATATCAGGTTGCAGATTACATCATGAAAGGGCAGGAAATTGTTAATTAATTATTTTTGTGTTGTATTTTCACTGCCAGTCATAGAAAGAGGACTTATGGGATGGTGGTGCCTTATGTGCCAAAATAACTTGGCTGGCTTTGGGTACAAAGTCCCTTGATTTAAATGGGAAATTTGCACTCTTCAGACCAATCTCAATTAATCTGATATATATAATAAATCTGTTCTGTATACCAGGACTTAGAATCATAGAATAATAGAGCTGGCAGAGACCACATGGACCATTGGGTCCAACCCCCTGCCATGCAGGAAAAGCACAATAAAGGTATATCTGACAGATGGCCATCTAGCTTCTGTTTAAAGTTTCCAAGGAAGGAGCTTCCATCACACACCAACTTCTTAAACTTTTTCCATTGGCAAGCCCTTTCCACCCAAGAAATTTTTACGCAATCTCAGATATATGAGTATAAAAAAATAGGTATACAAAAATGTACAGATAATAAATCAGCATTTGCAAGTTTTGATGGCTAATCTCCCTTTAAAAAATGGGCTAGAAAAAATTTGGTTGGAAAAAAAATTGAATTTGGATTGAAAATGTTCATGTGCTGTTTAACCAGGGTGCATTGAATTGAAGATGTGTAATTGGTATATTGTATATTGGAGGGGAAAACAAATAAGCCATTTTAAGCCACAGGAGGCTGTGAATCTTCTGATTCAGATCTTCTGAGACAGGATATATGTGGGAACAGGACATAACTACTGCTTTGATTCCCACAATTAATCATTATTGGTATTTTTTAAATATAAACTTGCTTTAGTACACAGTAGGTTCACATATTTAATTCCCAGGAGCTGGTCCTGGTCCTAGAAGATCTAAGTGTCCATAGAGATTCATTATAACATTCCTTCCTGTTAAAACTTCCCAAACATGGAGTTGCAAATGTGATCACTCTTAAGAATGGAGTGGAATGTTGAATGGAACGAGGGCTCTGAGGAAGCATGAGAACAAGTGGTGCAAATGAAGACAGATGTGTCCCCACTGGTGTCATTGAAAGCACTGAAGGAATCAATTGAGAAAGGAAATAGGATTCTGCAAATGTTATACACAGATGCATAATTTTTTCCAGAAATTAGAAATGTTACTTCTTTTGGATGGCAGCTCTCAGATAAGAATGGCTGGGCCCTGTTTTAGCCAGTGTGTGGAGAAATATAAGAGTTGTATTCTATAACGGTATTTTATTCTTTCATCATTGATTGGCTTTTGGCATTGGTTTAAAAACAGAATCAATCATTTGTTACATTTCTTTTTCTCCTCTCTTTTTAACAACTTTAATAGCAACCTTGTGTAATGAATTTTCGAATTGGGACCAGCAATCTACATTTCTGAAGGTGCAGACAGTGTAATTGAGCCTTTGATGTGTAATATTCTCAGTAACATCATTCCAGGACATCAACTGAAATCACGTGTCAGTGCTAACTAGGAATGCTGACAATTGCAGCTCAACAATATTGGGAAGGCCAAAGGGGACAAGGAGTTGCAGAGAATTTATACATGCTAAGATACATGAGGAATTGGCTAAGTTAGAGTACGTTCCAATAATCAAAAGATAAACACAATACAATTCACTATAGTGGTAAATACAGAGTACATAAACCAAATGCCTCCTAGTTCCACTATCCGGGTACTAGTTGTTGGTGGGCAACTTTGCAGTCCTTCCTCATAATTCTTTATGTTTAAAGCAGTCTGAAAAGAATACACTTTTAAGGAGAGGACTGCCATCTGGCCACCTTTCAAAAAGTGGCACCTGGTCTTTGTTTTAGTCTGAATTAAAAGGGCTGTATCTGAACCTATTTGAAGGATACGGTTCAACACCTTGGATAGCTCCTTTTAAAGCAGTGGTTTGGGCCTCTAAATGTTTTGGACTTCAACTCTCAGAAATCCCAGCCAGTTTACCAGCTGTTAGGAACTGTGGGAGCTGAAGTCCAAAACACCTGGAGGCCCACAGGTTGTGAACCACTGTTTTAAAGTCTCATTTAAAATCCAGAGTGGAGTTCCTACACCACTGACATGGAAGCCACCAGCTGCCACTTCTTTCAAATAAAGGACTATCTTCTCCAAAGCAGGACAGATAGTCCCAACTGCCACCAAATGTTTGCAGAGTCTGGTCCTGCTATCTGTCTTAAGAGGCCTACAACTCTCAGGATATGGTTCTTCATACCACACAGTGCATGCCTCTGTCCCCTTAAGTAGGGCTAACATTGTTTCTCTTCTAGTGAAATGTTTACCTTCAATCCAGGGAGTCCTTCTCCAGGGGGACCACGTTCACCTTGCACACCCTCAGGACCACGTGGCCCCTGAGTTTGAAAGAGAGGGGAAAAAAACCAATTTACATGCTGTGATGAAAAGCTTCCTTATTTATTTATTTATTTATTTATTTATTTATTTATTTAATTATTTACAGTATGTATATTCTGCCCTTCTCATCCTGCAGGGGACTCAGGGTGGATTACAATGCACATATACATGGCAAACATTCAATGCCATAGACACACAACATTTGCAGACAAACACAGAGGCAATGTAACATTTCAGCTTCATGAGTGTATGCTCGAATTCCGGTCACCGGGGGGGCTGTCGCTTCACTGTCTACTTGAGCATGAACTATGTTGGGTTTTGTAAGTCATAGGTACACAAATTGAAATTATATTAGTAATCAAAATAGTTACAAGTTTCATCAGAATTTATTATCATATAGAACTTAGTTATGTTTCTTCTGCTGAAAAATAAATTTATTGCAAAGCATTATTTGTAATGCATTACTTCCAATCAGGAACATAATTTGCATATGTTCAGCACATGCTGAGTGAATCCATGAATAAATCCGTTGTCTTCCAATCAACCACATCCTAAAACTCTTACAGTATCAAACCCGTTCCAGAATTTGAACAATTTACTTACTGTTAAACCAGGCTCGCCAATTCCAGTTGGCCCAGGAAATCCAATTCTTCCTTCCTGACCTCTATCGCCCTTGTGAAAGAAAGAAAGAAAAAATCAGGGAAAATATTACCCTTCTAAGAACATTTTTAAAGATGAGGGCAGAAAAGAATAAGTCAAGGCACAATTTAACCTACTTAATATTGTGTCCTACAATAATAATAATAATAATAATAATAATAATAATTATTATTATTATTATTATTATTATTTATGGTGGCCACAGTTTCTGCTGACTGCAGATGGGAACCAGACCAAGGAACCACAGTTTCTGTGGCTAGATAGCCCCTGGAAAATGCACTTTTTTCCTTAACCCATCCACTGAGATGTGCTGCAGACAATTAGAGTATATCTTGATTTCAAGCGCTGTATGGTATAAACTCTGATTAGCTGCAGCATATATTACCCAATTTTTTTAATGTACTGCTTCTGGCTTGATGTATGCTGCAGCACACATTGAGGGTGTATGTTTTGATAATACCTTACTCGGGCACCGAACTACATAATAGTGTATGGTAGAACCTCCCTAAGTCGTTTCTATGAACAACAGTTGTTGCCGTTAAGGTATTTCAAAATTTCTCACAGTGTTTATGAATAAATCGGAAACAGATAATTTAAGACAGAGGTGTGCTATTCCAGTTGTTTTTGGACTTCAACTTTCATCATTCCTCACATTGTCTACTGGGCCTTAGGATGGATGGAACTCACAGTTCAAAAATGTTTGGAGGATACAAGTTTTCTTCTCTGATTTAAGATCATGACATAAAACAACCCCCTACAATGCAGTATCCATTAATTTCAAGGTCTTCAGACACCATGAGGTAGATTTTCTTCCATTACCTTCGGTCCTGGATATCCAATTCCAGGGACTCCTGCAGGACCGTATGGCCCTGATGGACCAGGCTCACCCTAAAAGAAACAGGAGGAAACTACTGAAAACATTTTGAAGGTCCCAAGGGTTACTGTTCATAACAATATTGACTCAATCCTCGATCATCTCATTGACTTTCAAAGGAAGCATTGAACAAACTGACTCAGTTTTTTCACAAGCAGGAATTCTACTGTATTAATACCTCTATTAAGTCTACAATACCTCACCTCATTAGGTTTCACACAACAGTGTGAACCCTTTGGTCTTCCAGATATTTTGAACTAAACAACCCATAATCCATTACTATTTACTATCACAAATGGATATCTGGGAAGCTGATATTCAAAATATCTGAAGGACCAACTATTTCCCATTCCTGAGTAATATATATTTTATATTTGAAATCAGTTTTTTCATTGTTTCTTGATTGTAGCTTCTGAGGAGAACGGTGAACAGAAATGTCTATCATTCTGCAGCGAAGTGAGTTTTCAGAGTGAAAGCACCTGCCAGAGGGACCTCTGGCTGATAAACTTGTCCTGGATTAAAGGGAGAATGAGACATATGCGTTTTCCTACTATGCTTTAGTGCTTAAGAAGTTAATGCTTTGATGAAGATTATTAACAAGAAATCTCATTTTTCTCATCAGCAGGAATAAAATATGAGTTGCCAAGAATAACATGTAAGTTAATACACGTCTGCTTCCTAATTTTCTTGGCAGTGATTTTACAATGTCAGAGTTCATGAAAAGAATCCCTATAAAAACAACACAAATATTTCAAATGCAGAAGATATTCAATCAATGTTTTTCTCCTCTGGCCAAGGATGTCCCGTTCAGAAAATATCTCATTTCAGGAGCTGGGCAAAGGAACTGTCACACTCCAGAGCAGAATCACCTCTGACTTTAAACACCACACAAGCTGGGTAAAAGCAGTAAGCAGTTTATTGAAGACTATATGTAGCCAAAGCAGTAAAAAGTAATCCACAGTAAAAAAAAAATCCAATTTAGTCCATCAGATACAAAGGAAGACAGGAACAAAGAGTCCAAGAAAACTCATGAAACAAGGCACTAGAATCCATGAACAATACAGAAGCATATCCCATAGACAGAACATGAGCTAAGTAGATCTTGGTGCATGAAACTTGGCGTGGTCCCGAAATTGCCTCAACGAAATCAATCGTCTTTCACACATCATTATAAACTCTTTCCTGATTCCAAAACTGCTAGGAATTGATTCTTTCTTAGTTTCGGTTTACTATCTAACTTGAATCCGAGCTGAGTGTTTTAATTGCTGCTTGGACTGCCTCTGTTTACTAAAACTTATTTTCCTGTTCAAGATCTCATTAACTGCTGCACCTGGTACATCCAAGTCAGTTTCATTCCCATATAACTGACCAGGGAAATGCGGTGAAAGGCCTTTCCCAAGCCCAGGACCTTGAGAATCCTCTTGCAACAACTCATGCCTCTCTGTTAAACTCCATTCCGGCCCCTCATCCCCAAATTCATCAGACCCTAGCTCAGGCACCGAATCAACATCCCCATTCCCATCAAGAACGTCAACATGAACATCCCCATTCTCATTGTGAATATCAACATGAGCATCAGATGCAATCACAGGCTGAACAGGCTCGTATACAACAAGTATTCATATTGCAAAAGGGGCTTAAAGGGCCATTTGACAAATGGATAAAAAAGAAAAGCCATTCTGAATATTATCAAGCCAAAATAATGATGTAACAACATCATCAGCTTATAAAGGTTTTGATTCCTTCAACACTTTGCTGTTAAGAAGAGCAAATGTTCCTCAAAGCAGGTACTAACTGGATGCATAGTACAATGGCTCTCAACCTTTGGTCTTCCAGGTATTTTGGAGTCCAATTCCCAGAAGTCCCAGCCAGCATGCCCAGTGGCCAGGGATTCTGAGAAGTGATTTCCCAGACAGCTGGAATTTAAATGATTCAGAAGGAATGACATACATGTCAAAAAAGAGAGTAACTCTTAGGAATTTCTTTTTGCTCTCCATAAGGCAACGTTTTCTGCAGACGTGTAATTCTAAAATAGCACACAGTGAAGCAGACACACAGGGGAAATATTCACTGCTAGTGCATCTGAGCAGGAAAAGAGTCAGACTAAATTAGCAAATGCTACATAGAGAAGCCTGATGTTTGGGAAAGCAACCTTTTGACTGGGGAAATCTGGAACCTATAATATCAGAGCTCTGGATGGCCTTTAATAGCTTTGATTGACTTTATTTGATACTCACAGAATACTTCTTGCATTTCATCTTGTGTTGCCCACCACTCAATTTTAGAATTGCTGATCTTCTTCCCCCTACCACCAATAAAAATTGCAATGTGGGATAGTTCTGTCCAGTTAGAACCCAGTTAGGTTTTTTTTTTTTTCATTTTTGCAAACCTTGCAGTTTCTCACAGGATACTAATACATTCGTTTTGTGTGTGGAATGCGTCACTTTAAATACATAGGATACATGCTCACAGAATGAATTTCAGGTTAGTACAATCATCAAGACAAAAGTTTGTTTTTAACCTCCCTTTTAAACTGGCTGTCTTGCAAAAAAAAAGATTTTTAAAGACTGTTTAACTGCAATATAATACACCCACAAATTGAAATTGAAATAAACTGTGTCTCGGCACAATCCAGTGTTTAGGTGACTATTAGTATTAGGGTAACTTTAAGGCCCCTATTTATTTCCCTTCTTATGGCTCTTCATTTCTTCATAAAAAGTAGATAGATAGCCTTTCAAAGAGAGGTCAGTCTCTTGTAAAACAGGAAAACTGAATAAGCTGTCCCCGTGCTGGCAATTCTCCTTCAAAGCAGCATCTGTTGGATTAACAATTCCAAAAAAATTTTGCAATAGAAGTGTGATGGCACACCCGAGCCTTTTGGGAAAACTATATTGTCTGGCTTTACTCGAGGGCCATCTTATAACATCTGGTAAGATTAAGACCCTTAGCAGACAGGGGCACTTTGAAGGAAGGTGAAAAGATAACCAAATGAGTTTACTGAAAACAAGATGAATAAAGAGTTAACTCCACCCAGGAGTATCATAAGGTAACTTAAAACAATACATTGCCAAAGGAGCCTTTGCTGTTTGCAGTCATCTTTCTGGAATCTTTGAAAGTCTTTTTGCCTCTGGTGTAAAGCGATGGCTTATAGGTTGTTGTTTACAAACTGTCTTAATCTTCTCTCCTGTGAAGCTTAGGCTGGCCAAAAGCTTCTGTTGGCCTTTGGCCTGTTGGTATAAAAATACTGCTGAATGCAGCAAGTACTAAGAATGCCTGTTTTGGATTGCTAGGCCTAGAATACCATACAATATCCAAGCCTCTAATTCACTGTAGCTCTGCTGTAGAAAGGAGGAGGAGTCCAGCAAAGAGCTCTGTGCAGGGAAAAGGAATAGACCAACTAAGATTGGCCTCTGGGGGATTTTAAGCTCCATCCAAAAACGAATACAAAGGAAGTTATCTACACTATTGGGAAGGCCTATAAACAGGAAGGCCTATAAACAGGGGGAACTAAAGTAGAGGAGAGGAAAAGGCAGAGCCAAGACTTCACAAGAAGTACAAAGTCAAGCACACTGGTTTCAGTACAATATTCGTGGAAATTCTCTTCAGTGTCCACCTGACATGAGGATATATTATATTAACATTAGGCTTCACTGAGTGGAAATATTTCAAAAGCCAACATCTGAAATCTCTCAAGTGACAAGGGTTTTCACTTTGTGTTGGAACTGGATATTTTCATCCAAAACAGTTTTTCTGGTTTCCAAAGAACTTGTGTAAGAAATCATCTAGAATGTCTAATGCAATGGAACATTGTTTAATCTACAATGTTGGACCTACTATTATCTGCCGCCCAAGCCTATGTATGTATATGCTTGGGCAGCATGCAAAATAGCCAACCCGTCAAAATTAATCCATATTTTGAAGTTCTTCTCTTCTTGGCTATATAAAATGCACTTAATTAGCCTTTTCAAGTAACTCTTGGAGTTTTACCAGTTTTTAGCAGCTGTTAATGCAACTAATCTATACATGGCTACAGAGATTATCCAGCATTAAGCTTGACAAAAGAAGAATGCAATGCTGTTTTCAGCCCCCAATATGTGTAAACTCTTTTTTTTCTTATGCAAGCTAACTGAAAAGAAATTTGTTGTTTTTTGCCTTCATAGAATCTCCTCAATGGAGGTTATCTAGATAGAGTGGCATCTAGAGTGGCCCTCCAGGTGTTTTGGACTTCAACTCCCACAATTCTTAACAGCCGATAAGTTCAGCAGCTCCTGGTGACACAGTGGGTTAAACTGCACCACCAGGGTTAAGGTAGCTTAAGATGCCTCATAGAATACATTAAAAAAGTATAACAACAACCAAGACACTATCCAAAGTCTTGAACCTATTCTGGAGACAGTGTTCAACATGTTATATAATCATACCTAAATATGGGAGACACAAATCACTACTGCCTCCTGGTCTCCACGATTCTAATAAAAGTTTAAAAGGGAATCAATGGACAAAATGGTAGGACTGGGGCAATAGTTTTTCTCTTCTGCAGCTCTTGTAAGTGTCCCCAAAATAGTGTCTGGAGAGCTGACAAGTCTCATAGAGCCAGTGTTCAGGTGGTGGTGAATGATCCAGGAGAGACAGGAGGTAAAGAAATATGTCTTGCACTTTGAATGCCAACACAATGCTGGATTTAACTTCAAGTCAAGAATGCAAATTGTGCAAGGTGGTACAGCATAAGAAAAATCTGAAACAATATTTGCTTGTGTTGTTGGAGGCTTTCATAGCCAGAATCACTGGGTCGCTGTGAGTTTTCCGGGCTGTATGGCCATGTTCCAGAAGCATTCACTCCTAATGTTTCGCCCACATCTATGGCATGCATCCTCAGAGGTTGTGAGGTCTCACAACATCTGAAGATGCCTGACATAGATGTAGGCAAAAAGTTAGGAGAGAACGCATCTGAAACATGGCTATACAGCTCAGAAAACTCATAGCAACCCAATATTTGTTTGGTTGATATTATTTT